AATAAAGAAAATCATCAATCATTCAATGTCTCTTGTCAAACACACTGAAGTTCACATCTGAGAGTGAGCTCTGAGAGTGAGCCCAGTTTATCGGCAGAACCTTGATTGAGAGGTTGAATGCAATTCTGTCAACCCTCGACTGTCTCTAAGCTGGTCACTGTGCGATGACTAGCCGTCAACCGCTCACACATCATTCTTAGATACACTTACCAGGGAAGGGTTGCAACTTCCCATGAACCTTTGAATAGAGACCTAGGTATATCGATAGTTATTAACAAATATGAAAGTTAAAACTGCTGAATGAGTCTATCAAAAAAGTTGTGAGCGTTCGAAGTTTGCATGGTAAAGCATGGAGGGATAGTGCCAATTGATAAGCCCAGTTGCCCGCTTTGACTACAAGGGTTCCCGTGGCGTAGTGGTAGTGCTCTCGCTCTCCAAGTGAGCGAAGAAGGTTTGTTACCCATTGTCGTTTTCGCTTTTGCAAAATGTGCTTTCATCCGGATAAAGGCCCCTAAATCGTTTTTTCTTACTAATTTAAGTTAGCGCTTTGATTCGGCTATCGCTCGCGATCACCTATCTATCACCTATCACCGCACTTATTTAAAATTTCTACACGTCATTTTTGTAAAGCCCTTTCATTTTCAACACCGAAACACATATGCCCACACCCAAAGTGAAATAGTCTTGAACCCGGGAAAACTCGACTTCGATGAAACAACTCAAAAAATGGGCAGAGGAAACGTGTATTTAATTGGTCTCGAATCGATCGTATTTTTTATTTCCGGTCGTAGAGAGACAGAATGGTTGGTTTACATATGATGTTCGCAATTTGTGGACAAAAAAAATCTGCTTCACTCACTTCTTCAATTGTTCCATCGATATTCAGTTTTTCACGCATATCTGTTTTGAGTGATTTGGATTTTCCCTTCCACCTCAAGAAATTGCAAATGTGTGATGATAGGCGATAGATAGGTGATCGCAAATGATAGCCGAAAGAAAGCGCTAACGTAAATTAGTAAAAACAACGGTTTGGGAGCTTTTATCCAGATGAAAACACGTTTTGCGAAAGCGAAAACGACAACGGTCAACAAACCCTCATTGCTCACATGGAGAGCGAGAGCACTACCACTACCGCACGGGGACCCTTGCGGCCATTGTGAACAACTGGGTTTATGAACTGGCCTTATCTCTCCATGCTTTAACATGCAAACTTCGAACGCTCACAACTTTTTTGATTGACTAATTTAGCAGTTTCGATTCCCATATTTGTTAATAACTTTGCAAGCCCTATCGATATACCTAGGTCTCTATTGAAAGTTCCACGGGAATTCAAAACCCTTCCCTGGTTAGTCTGATAAAGATTTAAAAAATCTTTATTACCACTATTTCAATCGTCCAGATGGCGTCGTTCCTGCTTTTTTTGTTTCGACCTGCCTAGGCATCAACGCACTTTGGCGGTGAGCTTTGAATTCTGCCCGCCGTCTAAAGGAAATCCATCAAAATTTTTCAGAGTGCCCATATTCAAAGCACCCCTCGATCGGAGTTATTATAACGAGGACGCTATCGCTGAATTTCTAAGACAGAGATACATTACAAGCTACACGTTCGTCTCAAGCTATGACTATCAAGAAGGGCTTTTTAATTACATGAATGCGAGTTACCATTACATGTGCACATTTACATAGTAGCTACACAACTCGATCAACATTAGGCACCGTACTACGGCACTCTCCAGATTGGAGTTCCTCCTCAAACATTCAAAGTGCTATTTGACACCGGCTCGTCCAGCCTATGGGTCCCGTGCTCCACTATCAGGTACTGCCCTAAGACTTCTGGTAGTTGAAACTGACGATAGTTTTCAAGGGCCCAATTACATAGAAGCCGCTCATCTCAGAGATCTATTGGCAAACTACTTGAAAGGATCATCATCAACGAGTAACATATTATTAATGGACCAGGCAAAGCAATGTTGACAGTGGCACCACACTGATTGCTGGGCGACCTGCACTTGTCCAGAAGGTGAACTTTAATATTACTGAGCTAGTTTATTTCTTTCCTGCTCAACCACCGTTTGAGATCGAACAAGCAATCGGAGCAGGCGCATCAGGAGCGATTGACTGCAGCGCGATTTCCAGTCTTCCGTCAATCACTTTCGCCTTCAGTGGTGCACATGTGGTAATTCTTCCACAGAGCTACGCGATTAAGGTATCAATCTCTTAACGTTTTACGTGAAAACTCATACCCGGAAGTAGTTGCGTGGTTCCTGTGACTGATAGAGTACGTTGGACCCTTCGGTGTCATTCAATACTTAAATGACTTTGGGTACAGCCAGCGTATGTGGATTAGGCGCAATAACTCTTTGCAGGCTACTAGGGGATAGGGTCAGGTCTCGAATGTCTGATGCCTCATGTAAGCGAATAATTACCTTTAGTGAAGCGTTCGCACTTTTCTATAAGTCCTTCCTTCAGTACACCGACGGAACATGCACATCAGGTTTTCAAGGGTTCCCAGAACTGGCTGCCAGTAAACATTGTCTATTTAGCCAGTGTTTCTTGGTAGGACTATACAATGTGATTTCAGAAAACTCATGGATCCGCGGTGATACCTACATAAGCGTCTTCTACTCCATAATCGACCATGGAAACAGACGTGTTGGATTTGCACTGTCGACATAGCTTGTCTGACGAATGGTGGGCAAACTAATAAATTCACTAAAAAGCTTTTCTGATTTTCCATCACATTTCCATGTCCAGACGGCATTGTCTGATTCACTCCAAACATGATGCAGATACACGGGCAAGAATTCCCAGATATGAAGAATATTTTTATCCAAAGGACTCACTCTATGGAGAGATGGGAGGAACAGCGCTTGTTGAAAGGTCGGCTTATGGCTTAACATAGATAAGGCAATGCTCAGGAGAAACGGATAAGTATCCCATGTTTCATTTAATTCAAATGGAACGCTCGCACTACTCTAAATCCCCCTTCCCATGCAAGTGCAAAAAGGATTCGGAGTTCCAAGCTACGTCAACGAATGAAGATCAGGATTCCGTCGGTTCCGCCAAGGATCCAAAGAGAAGGAGGACCGAACACGTTATGCGATATCGTGATGGCCGCTGAGTCTGTGCGGTTACTGACTAGATTCCTCGAGATGTCAAGCGAACGGCAGGACGGCCGCCAGCGCGATGACCAGACTCAGACTTGTTTATGAAAAGCCTGAATGAGAAGGACGCTATGCCTTGTGTCTCTCAAGCGAGAACAATCCACTTGACTGCTCTGGTTCCCAAAAGGGACGAATGGAGGCGTTACTGGCGGCCTTCGACAAACTACCTTACGTTTGAGTAAGCTACATGACGATGGGGTGTGGCATTGTGCCCGATACATATATAGCAGAAGTTAACAATAGCCAATGATATCGCTGTACAGCGTCTTTAATTAGATGACTTTATCAGTTGTATCGCTGTCCGGACATAAGGCGCAGTATACACTTGCAAGGAACCCAACGCTAGGCACGTTGGACCATAAAAATCGAACGATACGAAATTTTGATTTCGGAAAAACAATAAAATAAACGATTTTATAACAGTTATTTATTAAATGCACACAATGCCAGTACAGAGAACACAGATCAATCCCGAGCCAGCCATTCGACTGGCACTAGGCACACGTTAGAGTAATCATTAGAGAAGTAAAAAGTTTGTACATTATTAGGCAAAAAGAAATTATTAAACAGATTGATATGAAAACAATATGATCAGAAAATTAACCACAGCAAAATATCATAAGTAAACAGATCTTACAGCTAATAAATAAAATTTGGAAGATCAAGGAATAATCAGAGGTTACCAGAGTTGAACGAATTTTGACAATCCAACCATTGTCGCCCCTGCTAACGTCACCAACATGGCAATTGCGAGAATTCGGAGATTCCGTTTTCCCTATAATGGTAATATACAATTTCAGCATTAAAGGCACTGTTCACGATACTTTTGGGTAATCCGCATTATGTCGAAAATAGAAGATAAGATGGAAAATAGTGCGATGAAGAAACTGCGTGAATAGGCGTTTCCGAAGCGAAAAAGGCTTCGAAAAGCCGTAAAAAGGAGGCTGGACCAGAATGAGACAGAAAAATGAACAAGAGTGGGGCGTTTGGACGAGCTATACAATGTGGGTCATTGCGTACGTGTGGGTCCTAAAGCAATAATTGACTACGGTGAGCAAAAAATTCATTCAATTATAAGCATGAGTAAACAAAAAAAAACCTGGTGACAGCAAAAATAGCTCACATTTTTCAGCCTTTTGGGGTAGGAAATTGAAAAAAAGGATCGCGGCAGCAAAAAGAATAGCAGAGGAAAAAAAGAATGTGAGAAAAACATCGCCGAAAAACGAACTTGTGGGTCCATGGAAAATGCAAGGAATTACAAATCTTCCGAGAAAGGGCTCTCAAATCCGTACAATTTTGGAGCTCCCTGCCGAGTAATCACTTCCTTTGAACCAGCCTGCACCCAGGTTACCGACTCAAGGATAAATATTTGGTAGGAATGTTGAAATATCTTATACCCAAGAGAATTTTAAAGATTTCTCGCCACTCAAATCATATATTTATTTTAAGGTAGCGGTAATCAAAACTTTCGTTCGGGAAAAAAAAGACCATTGGTCGACCACATATCCCGCAACTAGAGCTCAGAGATCAGCAGCAATGACTTTGCTCCCTGAGTGGATTCGCAGAAGCGACGGGGGAGTTTATGATCAAAGCAACGAGATAAGCAATGAGGTAACTGTTGGTGCTGGTGCTAATGGTGCTTACAAGAAAACTCAGTGATGTAGCTAAGTCTTCATGGCTTCAATTGGGTTTGTTTCGATCCGAACTCCATGGCCTTTCCGGGCCCATTTTAGAGAGAGGTCATGTTCTGGCACAAAAAAAAAACGAAAACAATTAATGAAACCAACACTCAAACGAATGTCTCACAAGGTTGGCGATTTATAGATAAAACATCAAGTCAAACGAATGTATTGGAGCTAACTTTAATCTCGTATACCTTGATTTCACGGAAGTAGAGTATACTCCAAGCAGAAGCGATACATCCAGGAAGCATTGTGATGATGGGAAATGTAACGGCTTGTGAAAGATGTTGATTAGCGACAAAGAATGACGACTGAGCAATTGCCCACAATATTCCGGCAAGGAGTGATGGCAGAACGATGAATGATGGAACCAGTGGGTGGTTACGTCTGCAAAGGGGCGGTCATGTCTGGCAGGTTCGGTGGTAAATATACATGGAAACAACTGCATGCTTATTTTTCCTATACAGAATTATATTTTCTATGACTATTTTTTGGATATTTATTTTTTTAGGTTGAGATGCTGTTTATGTAAGGAATTTCATTTTCTTGGAGTCCATACAAACACCCGCCTTTCTAGTCTTCTTCATTGATTTCACCGTTTTCTTAAGTGATGTTTCATTTTTTAGACGGTTCTAGCTCCAAGAAAACCTCACAGGACGAACGGGGACCGACTACTCATGAGCGGGTTCCTATCTTGACGACTAGCGGGTTAGGCATCGAGTGGAAGGTACAAGGTACCATTTGATTTTTCCTTTTTTTCAGCCTCTCATCGATAATCGTTTGGAAGAGCATGGAAAGCGAATCAATTCAGGCCATGATTGGACCACGCAAATCAAAAACACAACGGATTCTCGTCCATTCTCTAAAGAGCGTTCTCGAAGATTGAGACACACTGGGCACTCTGTCCTCTATACCATTTGCACCCCGTCTTCCAAACATTCTCACAGAAATGTCAACGAATATCCTTCGATCATCATCATCTTGTATAAAAAATAAGAAATAAGAAAGAAACCATGAAAACCAACTTCATCATAGCATAGCCGATGAACATGATAGTTGAGGTAAGGAAGATCCCGAAGTAGTGAGAAAACACGTAGGACAGTCCATCATCTGGGTAACCAGGAAATTTGTCCGGATTATCAATCATGTAGATGACCGGCACAAATGTCATGCCGTAAAAAACACCGGCTGCCAGAGACATAGCGATACCTCTGAAAACAGAAGCAGTACAAACTGAAGAGCAGTATGTAGGTGGACTACCTTCCAAAAGAGATTCAAACGTGTTCCTTTCCTTACGAATTGATGGAGTAAGTTATGAACTTTGTTTCGCTTTAACTTTGCTGCACCTCTATAGATTATATGCTGTTTCGACTTTGTGCACAGTCAAGGGAAAAAGGTTGGTCGATTTTTTCTAGAACGGCCTTAACGAGGTGGTCCTGAAATTGGAATCCTTCGAATCGAACTCTTCTCCTCACCCTATTTCTCCCCTGCCTCAGCATTACTCACAACACCTTCAGGTTAACCAGGTCCTCCGGTTTTCTAGTCCTCTAGGATCACCTATCATACCCATTTGAAGAAGAAGTCCTAATTTGTATATTTTCTGCCCTCTGCAAACCATTGCATGGCCTATCCACGTATTAGAAAATTCTACAGATCTCAATGGAAGTGGGATGCATGGGCAATTTCTTGAACCACATCGATCAAGGCCAGGAAATTTGTCTTTACTATTTTATTCAGCTAACATTATAATGCTCAACCCCAGCCCCTCTCTGCCGATATATAGGATTCTTGAATGGCGTAATAACTCGGTCACCAAAGCTTGTACTTCGCTGTAGCATGAGTCTGCACTTAAGGGCCTCAGCCCTTCTGGACTGTCTTTTCGCTCACCATTCCACAGTCATCCTTCCCGTAATCTCGTTTGAGTATACGGTTGAGGCTTATTAGCGATCTACTGAAGTTGGGTACTAAATTAGAACGGTCCATTTATATATACGTGTACTTTTTGAGAGCTCACCTAACACTTTTGTCTATTATGTAGCCATTCGAGTTACTCTAGGTGATAATGAAAGACCCACATGATTCTTTGTTTTCCGTGTCTGCAACTAGTCTCGTCCTTGTTATCACACACGAAAGTCTTCTTAGTTGGAGAATCTTCACTGGTTAGATTGACTGTCTCATGCTGATTGCTGCTATTCCGTTTTGTGTCTGTACGACTGTTGCTATTCTGAAACTTGCTGAACAGCTGATAAAACCAAGGTTCACTGTAGCCAAAAAGTACGATGGATAGTTAACTGAAATATGGCTCACTTTGACCGTTTCTTTCACTGTGGTTGGAATGCCATCCTCCATTTCGTTCGCGTTGGTCTCACTCTTGACTCTAGAGAACAGGATTCCTCTGAAATTTGGGAAATGGAAATAACACAGTGTATAGGGCTTCACCTTCATAGATGTGAAGAATGGAATTTAGAAAGTTCACACTATCCTAATGTAGCCAGGCATTACCGAACCACGAAATAATGTAGGCCAAAGTATTACAAAGATTACAGTGAATCCCTTGCACATGCACAGCCCGCAGGCAAACCTCCAGATCGTATTCACTCAGGACTAAACTTCCCAGACCTCCGGGATTGGATGGCTTAATTGGTACCACACTCCTCTGGGAGGTTGAAAGCACTGAGTTGTGCCTCGACTGGCCACCGCAATTCATGGTACGCACTCAGAACGTGACTACAGTCCTGAGGAGGAGCTTACCTTTGACTATACATTACCCTACTATTATTTCAAACGTCAGTTCTCCACTGAAGAATAGAAAGTGGTAGAAGGATATGAACTCGCAAAGCCTGTATGGGAAGAAAAGCTATGTATACTGCTACGCTATGAGCCTCAAACACGGAATGAAAGAAGATGTGGAGGTGAAGAAGCTCTATGAAGCTTACCCTATAATTACACAAACCAATCCACCATAATTCAGGATTTGGCTAGCAGGTGGATTGGCTTTCATGCCAAAGAGGCCAAACCTGGAAGAAAATTAGGTAAAATATAAAAAGTTGAAAAGGCGACTGTTGCCTTACCTCCCACCAGCCCATCCTGTTAGGCAATTCGTTGTGTTCCATATAAGTATACCGACGGTCATCCCGAGCCTGGAGATGATCGGAATCGCTGTGGAATTACCTGCGATTGAAAACTAATGAAGTTGAGAGGGGATAGTGTGGTGATGTTGATTAGACTGTTCGTTACGATTCCTGCCAGTACTACAGCACGCCATCTCCACTTAGGATAGTCCTTATGGGTGATCTGTAGACTACAATATAAGCACTCATAAGGTCTAAGCAGAGATGAGGTCTTGGAGATGATTCTCATGGCTGGCGAGAAGAGAGGAGTAGCAGTTCCATCAGCTCACGATTAGATTTCTTTCTGGAGCTCAATTCAGAGTGACTGATCAACACCAATTTCTTTGTCCTGATCTCTAACATAAGCTTTTCTCTAACCTAATGAAATTAAAATTGTAATTTAATTACCGATGGACCAGAACGCTCCGCCCAACATTGCCAATGGGTAGAAACCGGGAAATCCTTGAAGACAGAAGACGATGAAGCCAATCATCAAAATTGCGGTAGACATTACCCATTGAGCAAACATTCCTCAACAAAATACGGTGCATCCATGGTTCTACCCAGAAATGGAATTTTTAAACTCTCACTATGTAGCAATTACAAAACTTTAAATGTTCAGAAATAATTACCATCTCCAGCATCGTATCTTCGGATCGGTACGAACATCGAACCAAAAAATACAGAAGATACGCCGCAGGCGGCCAGGCCGATGCCTATGGCCATCTGCAACAGAAATCTGGTGAACTTAGAGCACCGAAACAACCCGGATTTTATGCGAACATCTCATTTCTCATGGCTTGAAAATAAACGTTTTCGAAGGCCAGTTTACGAACGACGATTATGGAATGGCTAGTGTGAAGGAACAGTTCACGATAAGTTTATGGTCCCCGTTTTTATTCGAAAAGCCGAAATATAGATTGGGAATAGTTCATCAGTAGTGAAGAAAGCGAGAGAACTCGCCGATTTCGTGGAAAATATGACTCCTCAAAAGTAGTGAAAATTGCGATTGCCATCGGAAATAATATGGAAGTGGTTTTTGGAGGAGATTTTGTTGCAATTGCGCAAAGAGCTGACTCCATCAAGGCAGAACTGTACAGAACTGCTATCCACTGTCGCTCTGGGTCACGACAAGTTGCTTGAACCTCCTACAAAGGTTCCCTTGTGAATGGTGCAGCTTCTACATTGGCGGTGCGGCGGTGAAAATCGTCCCAGGATACAAACGGGACAATCTTTGAGCTTACGTAACGCCCTAACTGGGCCGTTTTCGGACCTAATAGTGCTAGGTATGGTATACGCGGAGGCCTCAAACTCATCCTGTGGGTGACCCTGAAACCATTTTTATCGTGAGCTGTGCCTTTAGGACGAATAGTAGAAGTGATAGTTTAAAGTAGTACAAAAATAGTGAAGAAAGCTCAAAAACCGGCGCAAAACGTATTCAGAAGAATATAATAGGTCAAATAAAGTTGAGAAATCAAGTGATGGACGAGAATGTAACGGCAGAAGTTGGATTAGCAGGGTATTTGGACGAGCTGTCCAAATGCATGAACTGCGTACACGTGGCTATAGTAAGCTGCTTGCGTGCAACGCGACCTTCCGGTGCAAACGATGAACCTCTTCAGTGTCTCGATGCCGTAAGAACTCGTCCGCCTCTGGGTGTGTACGTTGGCTCAGTCGATTTTGGGGCCCTACTACACTGTTGATAAAGAAAACAGCTTAAGTTCAAGAAGTTTAGAAGGGGTAACGGGGGTAAGGACCCCATGATCATTCTCTGGGTCTTGTCGCGAATGTGCGAATGAATGCTGATAGAAGGTGAGCGCAATTTCTTATAAAAGACGCCGACTTTTTGGGTGCAATCGACATGATACTTCGANGTAGAGGATATTACCTGGTCATATGTGACTATCTCTTATAATCCGGCGTACAAAGGCATTCTTCAGGTGCGAATCTCAAGCTTTTTATTGAAAGGATTTGGAAGATGAAACATCAGGAAAAAAAAGGTCCCAAATAGTTTCTATGATTGAGAAAGAACGAGACTGGGAGGTTTAAGAGAATAAAGGCCCTAGTCAAGTGAGAAAGTTTGAAGAAATGGCAGCCGCTCAGGAAAAATCCTATCCACGCTGAATTGGATGCGCAACTCGAAACCGAACGATCGAGTCCAATATTTATTACAGAAGAACACCCAGGATTTTCCCCAATGATGAGCTGGGTAAAAATAGATAATCTTACCCAGAAACAATTACAGACGTCATATTGATTCGTCAGTGAAGCAAGCAATGATGGAACGGGGAGGATGAATTTCCCAGAACCAGTCTATTCTGCAGACCTCAGTTGACGTCTACGTCATTGGCTGTGTGCAATTCGATCCGAAAGCTGCATGTTTCTTCCTTATGTTCGGGGAATTCGAAAATTGGGTCGTTAAATGGATTAGCTCAAAGGGCAAACCTTTTTCTTCGGGTAGAGCGAAATTCAATATCCGTCAGGACAATAGGAAATTTTATGGGTTCAGTGGGAAACTCCTTGGTCCTTGACTGTTGTATACTGAGCTCAAAAAAAGCAAGAAACAGTCATCTTCAACTTAGCCTTCCGACACATAACCCAGCGGTGTTAACTATGAGTTCCTTGTTCGGGCATTAGTTTTCAGAACACGCTCATCTGCTTTCTCTTCGTTAAAACTGTGTCTGTTCATACATTAGTTTCCCCAGCAGATTACCACTAACTTATGCGGCCTTCCCCTAGAACAAAGTACTGAATTAACTAAGACCTTCAGGAAAAAGATCCCTTTTTCGGATGGTTCCACCAGCTTTGTTTTCATGTGTTTTGTATTCACCATGACAGAATAGAAATTCATAAGCAGTTTTCATTAGCGTAGTGTAAGGGATAAAAAACATGGCCCCGGATAGCACAAATCCGAGCTCAAAGTCCATCTGNGAGGCCAAAGTTTTGTTCATGACTCGCCAACTTGGGAGATTTGCGAATACTATGGCGAAATAACAGCAGTTAACATAAAGTCACAACATATTATCATATCGTAGCATCTTTTACTACTTGTTATCACTCCTGACAACATCGAAAAAAAGATGGAATTATAAATTATACTGAGTATCAGTATGGTATCGATTCTTGGCTACAGAAACCTTCGCTACGCTTCGTAAAGTTGGATGTTGGGACTAGTGTTCTGACTAGAAGTTATGAGGATGATCCCTGCGTCGAGTGTCCCTAAGGTACTGAAGATCTAATGGGAACTTTTTTAGAGATGGACAGAGATCAACCAATTGGGACCAGAAGAAACATTCTAGGGGCTTAGATAGACAGTAATAGTCAGGATAGTCAACTGAAGGGGTACGGCAAAAATGGTCACAATCTGCAGACCAACAATGGTTCAAACAATGAAATTGCTCCAAATTTTAATCTGCGGTCCGCTTCTCAATAGATGTGCCAGAAATTGCTTTCTTTTTTGTATATTTTGGTACAATCAATAGGTTGGCGAATGCCATCCCGTTCACAGTCCTCTCTGAATGCGCTAGCAAACCATTTAGTCGTTCCACCCGTTCCATCAAGGCACGAATGGGAGCACAGATCTTTTGAAGTTCAGATTAAGTCCCCAAAAGAATAAATTCATTAGATGTATGGCCACCCGGGTGTCTTGAACATGAATTTGAATTCCTCGATACGGGTTCAGCATGGGCGCATATCGACCCCCAGCATCCAGCATGGAAGCATAGATGAAAATAAGCAAAGCTCATAAAATTTCTACGGTATTTCAGCCTGCACTTCCAAAAAGGCACACTTACAATCTATAGGTTCCTGCGCTGATATCGCTGCACATTTCTTCAACTAGTATAGAACTTCCGAGGTACTGAGTAATTATTGAGGAAACCGGTTGACGTCTTAAACCGATTGATTCAAAAATTGAAGGAGATCGAAGAAAGACTCAAAGCAGCTCTTCAAACCCTTCACACCTCCTCCAGTCCTTTTGACGGACTGCTGGAAACCAGTCAAACCCTGATAGGGCTTGACAAGCTCTATCACCGTAGCGAGGAGGCGGCTTTACCACCCGAGATTAGTTGCTCCTACCAGACTGAGACTTCATGAGGCCTTTACATGGCCAGTATTGAGCCAGCCTGAGCCAGCTTATTTGAACGTTTTATCATACGCATTAACCCATGACCCAACCCATTGGTTGGAAAATTGCCGTTATAGAGAGGGAAGAGCGGCCCATGATGGTCACAGGAGGGGATGCTAACCAAAGCGTAGTATCGTTAATGAAGTCACCGCTCTGCCAAGATGAAAATACAGAAGTGAGCCTGTTGTTCAAGAGGAGTAGGCAGGGTCAGAGAACTCCTGTTCAGCTGATGTTACAGCATAAAATGGAAAGGAGCCGAGATGACAGGATCATCCGCAAAACACGGCCCTAGCTTTGAAGTCTGAAGTGAGCGACTTGGAGGAGCCAAAAAACGACGAAATGACGGAATGTGATTGAAAAGGAACTCTACATGACACCGTGATGGCAGAAGACCTAAAAACTCCTTGGTAAGGAAAAAGGCGACAACTGATGAGAACAGTGGACTCGCCGACTTTTGGGAAAGGAAGAAATGCTAGGGAGAAGAAGAGAGAGGAAATCAAATCTGGGCAGTCAATCATCTATTAAGTTGATTTCAAAATATTGAGCATCCGCAAAATCAACAACCATCATGAAGAGTCCATAACAAACGGAATAAAAGAGGGAAGAGATAAGGAGTTGGAGTAACAGTGAATCATCCCACAAACACATTAACCTTCAGCCCGGGCCCTATGCTACTATCTATCTCCAAATTGAAATGAATTCTCGGTTAAACAATTCAAAAATTAATTGAAATAGGCACCTTTTTAGGTCCCTGATGAAAATAAATAATTGAACTCATATCGAATAGAGCAGTTTCTAAGAAATATGAGAGCTCGGTTGATAGCAGGGCTGTGAAATATGAGACCTGACTGTAGAATCGTAAACTGTCGATCGAGTCAATCAAAAAGCACTTTCGGCCTGGAAATTCTATTCTAAGATAATGGAAAGTGCTGGCTCTGATTTCGCACTCATGGCTGGAGACGAAGTTGAAATGCAGATCTTTGACTTGGCCGGCTTTGACTCCACATATCATTATACTGTAATAGCTTTTACAACTTGGTATCACTCCTTATCACTCACAGCCTTCTTACAATACGGCAAAAAATTACTTTTGAAATATAAAGGATAAAGTCTTGGGGCGTTAATCAATGCCGTCAGAGAGATGCGCCCACGCACTCAATTTCCATTCAGAATCGTAGTGATGGCTTGAAGGCGTGCGTGGCCTATACAATGGCCAGCCGATGTACAAGTCAGTGCTTTTATCCTCCCAGACGAGTCTGGTACCAATTAACCGACCCGGAGGGATGGAAGGCTTGGTTGGCTAAGCATACATCGATCCGAGAATCGAACCCGTGACCGTGCATGTGAAATAGTGCGCCTTTGCCACTAGATCACTTCCGCCCAATTTTGAAACATACTGTCTACAATACCCATTTCTTATTTCTTTCTTCACACTTGGGTAGGATCCTTATAAGTGAGCACGCAGAAAAATTGGAATTATTGAATTCTTCGAGAATATTCCAAAAGATTATAATGGAAGTAATGAATGGATTAAGAAGTTTCGCGATCAAAAGCTCCCAATTAGATGAAGTGGAAGGAAGGATATCTGTGACCAGGAATTTGAGACTGGCGTAAGCAGAGACCTGAGTGATGTGATAACAACAGAAAACAAGCTTGTTTTTGCATTCGTTCTAATTAATCTGGATTAAACAAGGAAACTATAACATACGCAGAAACTCGTCCATCGCTCCACCTAGAGGGTGGAATCGTGGAGAAATCTCTTCTCGTGCATTTGTAGGAGTCCTATTGCTTCAAATAAGTCATCGGACATAAGATAGATTGCACAAAAGGATTGCTACAAGTCAAGATAGCCTCTGAAGCAGCTTTCCTCATGGCATTCATGAATAATTCTTGTTGACAAGTCTGTTGCCATAACAATTGCTTCCTACAAACAGTTTCCAGCATCGAATCTACTGGTTTTTCTCTATAAACAACAAAGAAAATAACCAATCAGGCATACAAGTGAATATACAATCGTCTCGCTTTCATTAAACAAGTCGTGAGGTCTGAAAAGGCTGTAGGAGAAAGGGATAAGTGAGGCTGGCATGGATATTGTTATTGAACCACCCAGTAGCCCCCTTGTTAGGACCCATTCACCCCAACGCCAGACAAGAACACTGGATATTCATGCTTATTGAAAGACACCAGAAATCCAGAACTGCCGATCTTTGGCTTGAACTTTGATGTCGTTCCATCTTTTGGGGTGTTTGCGCATCTTACTGGTAAAAAATGTTGTGAGTAGTATTCGCCCGTTTTTTGTAGTCTGTTTACTTAAGAATTCCACGCCATGGGGTCGCGGCCGTGATTTCGAACAAACAAACGGATTCCAATTCCTATACATACACTGACTCCGAGTTCACCCCCAATCTGTCAAGGAATACGGTGGGAGAATAGGTCCTACCACTATGAAATCCTCTGACCAAGAAGTTCATCAGAAGATGGTCATGACTTCAATTTAGAACAAGCAAACGATACAATTCGAATAATATCCTGTCTTCAAATCACGATTTAAACTTCTAAAAAATCAGAAGTAGCTTCGGTTGCGGGTTTTTAACTACTCTTGGGAGCATCTCTCAGATCAGCTCCCAAAATCATTACAGTGAATGACTTTGCAAATTGGGTTCCCCCAACGACCACATAGGATGTAGGAGTAACAATTACTGCTGTAGAAATGAGATACTCAGAAGAAGGAGTCCGAAAATGAGGGAAAATGATAGAAATGAAAAAGATAGCCTCGGTTGAATGAGATCGAACTGAAATGGCCTCGGTTGAATGAGATCGAACTGAAATGAGGAAGAATCAACAGCGGAATAGAGAGTCAACTGAGAGAAAGGTAAGGAATTTTGTTTGGAAACCGGTCTGTTCTCTTGGAAATAACATCCACTGTCATGGAACTAACACCTCCTGCGCGTAAAACTGGTAGTACCAAAGACCATTAAGGGGCTCTCAATGAATAAAGTGTAAGGAGAGCATCCCAGAGATTATTTCACACTTGCAAGGGCGGCTCGCCGTTCAAAGGAGGATGATACCAGGGAGGAACAACTCGATCGGATTAATTGTTTCTTTTGAGAGTAGTTCAATTGAAAACTACTTATATCTACTTTAATCTGAAAAATTGCCATGTTTGTAAAAAAAAAAGTCGATTGGGAGATAAGCGAAGATGCCAATGTGATGTTAAAGGGCAACACAAAGATCTTAAACTGCGATAAAATCCCAAAAACTGAATTCCATAGGAAATTTCACTTATATTGAAACATGTATGTAGAGGCCAATTAAATCTACAAGACATGGCAAAATGATTTCCTCATTGAATTCCTCATTATGAATGCGCCATGTCGTCATTTTCTGAGCGGATTGGTAGAGGAATTTGTTAGGGCTTTTGCAATCTTATAAAGTTGCCAAGGAAGATCAGGTTTTTCAAGGTTTTGTTGAGGTGTGTCACGACCCTGCAAAGAGTTTAGTCCATCTGAGCAGGATTTGATCCATGGAACGAAATACCCAAGCACCGCCATTACCATGTGGTACATTAATGTTGACAGGTTTGATCTTGCTAATTAAATTTCAAACGCATATTTGATGTCTGACAGCAGGAAATCACCCATGAAATCTCTAGCTGGTACTTCTAGAGTCAGAGAAACCGGGAATATTCGTAAAAATCAGGGGATTTCCGCTTTTCGATGCCATACTTATGAACAATGGTTGGCCCAAATGGGCGTTTTTTCTTCAGCGCCCACCTCTTATATGAGCTTATATGTGAGTACCCGGAGGGAACAGAGCTGTTTTCCGTCTTTTACTTGGACCGTGAAAAACTTTCTTTTACTACGGCCAATTAGGATCTTCCAGTCACGTCCTATCCTAGTGGATCTGTGAAAAAGTGCCCACTTGCATAATTTTAGAAAAATTAATTAACTCAAAAAAAACAAATAAACAAATAAAAGAAAGAGGTCCTGCCAAAAGGAAAATGCTTGCAGTAGAATTACTTGGGTGAGACAAAAAAAAGAATAAAAGAAAAGAAAAAAGCAAAGATAGAAAAGAAAAATATAAAGGAGAATCCGAGCTGGTTCCAGCTTTTTCTCAAACCTTAGCAAACAAATCTGTAAATAAACTTTATAAATTAAGAATATAACAAAAGGAATTGATGGTAAAACAACAAACAGGAACACCAGAAAAGAAATTTAGTCAGGGATTCAGCCAAAAAATAGCATAATAAACTGATAAGAGAGAAAAACTTGTGTGATACTTCGTGATTCTGAACTGTCAACTGTCGCCAGTACTTGAAATGCTCAAAATCTTTCTAATCCCATATTCTGACATCCAAGATGTCACCATTTCCCAACCAGTAAATGACATTTTTATCCCCGAGCCCCGAAAAACGATGGTTCCAGCCAGTCTAGAACGAGACAGCTGCTAAGGTCAATAATTTCTTACCCACTGAGGTCACCCACCCACATGACGTTTGCCTTTTGCACTGAACGCCGTCCTAGTCTAAGCACAATGATCATTGCCACTGAACAAATACGAGATGGTCAACTAGAAAAAGACGTCGGAAAAAGTGCTAGTTGCCTTGAAAATTAAGTTTTTGACGAATCAGCAACGAGAAAGGAGGAATTTGATGCTACGGAATGGCATGGAACCGAACAGCATCCGTTTGCCGTCGGACTCTCTCCCCCCGATCAGAGTCCATCGAGTATGGCGGATCGATAAAGAGAGCACTGTGGTGGTCGCCGAATATTTGCAAATGGGCTATTGATCCAGTGTATGACGTCACTTTAAATTCTTACTTTAATCGATAAATTACGGTAGGTTTATAGGTTCTACAGTATTTTTACTGGTTCCTAGAATCTCAATAGGAATGATGTGCTCTACCAAAAAGTTAGGGGTAGAGGCTTTCCTTACAGATAACACCCAATTTTACACCTCTTTATTGTGAAGTATAGCTTGTTTTTACCTTAAAAGGCTCACTATGGGAGGTCTAAAAGCGATGAGCTCAAATGAATGGCAGAAAAACCAGCTCCCAGTCCCCCTATTCCCCCTACCGCAAGGTGGACAACAGGGAGAAAATCGGACCATTTGTCTACTGAAAATTCATTTAATCAGTACAAATTTATTGACTCTAATGTAGGAATATACATTTATCTCTGCACATAAGGAATATTTTCTCGTGTCGTCAAGGGTGCCCAGTAAGCAGCCCCATGGACATGTCGTCAGAGCAGATTTCATTCGCGGACGTATTCACGACGGCAGACAACGTCTCCACATTGCAAGGTGGTGATCAGACGGCCATTCTCGATCCAACGTTTGATTACCGAAGGCTTGTCTTCAACCTGAAATCAACTGAATTGATAGACGGAAAAAAAGATGTTCCGATCGGGTCCAGTATAGTGGTGAGGCATTACTAGACCCCCCCCCCCTTCCGAGACTTTTGAAAAACCCAGCTCTTTGCGCCATCTTTCATGCAGATAAGATTCTCTCTATCCCTCCTACTGAATATGGGCTTATCCGTGAACTGCTCTTCCCCTTTTCTATGCCTCCACAAACTCCTGTATCCAAGATTCGAGACGAACCTCTGTCTCGTTTCTGGGCCCATGCTTAGAGCGGAACGGGCCCATCTAGACCCTTATCAGTTACTTTTATAACTTAGCCGTCCCAGCATGCTCACTGTTCCCATGAAAAGTAACTTCTGGCAAAAATCGATCATAAATCATAGTCCGATTCTAGTGCGCTGGTGAAATTCGACGGGGAGCAAACCGAATGATAAGACAGAGCGTAGAAAAGATAAGCAGGATTGTCGGCCACCTCATTATCAGTAGGAGAAGTTTTATGGCTTAAATGAGCATGCTGCGTGGTATCAAAGATCAACAGGGGAAGGAACTGGGTTTGAAAAACGTGAGAAGAAACAGTTCATCATATCAACTCGTTGGCAAAAGCGACAGAACATGGATACCAAAAAGCCGGAGGTACCATACATTTTGGTGCCATTGTTCGACTTTCACAATCCCTTTTGTGTGTATAGCTGACTATATTCCTAACTTCTTAGGTTTTACAAGCTATGGAACCCTTTGGATCTTCAGATGCTTTATGGTTTTGCCAAAGATCTTTGCCGCTCATTCGCCCTCACTAATGTCTTATTGTTAGCACGACTTGTACTCAATCCAGTTTGAGGCCTACCTTAATCGGCGTCTGTTTGTGAACCAGTATTCCATCGGCCAGTTCAATAAGCGATCTGAACTTCCGACCATCGGGGGTGGTCTCTTCAAATTCCTGCAATCAAAAAAAGCTACAGTCATAAAGGATATTGTTTGGTAACCACGAAACATACCTCGCCAAGTTTAAATTCGAGTTTTGTGTTCTTGAATGTGGATGTTTGAAGGCAGACCCATCTATCTCCCTGAAAAACTTCAATGAGAGAGAAATTTTGAAGGTTTAGGGGTTCTGTGAACAATCTGGATAGAAATTTTAGCGATGGCTTCATTTGACGATTTTCAGTGTCTCATCATTTGCGAGTGAGATTGTTTCTAGTACCGGACATCCGATAAGTAAGGTTTCCTCTTTATTTCGCACGTTGATCAAGGTGATCGAAGTGACTTAAGTCCAACTACAGGCCTGGTACTGCCTCAGCCCATACCAGAGCCGTAGTCACATTTAGGCCACTGACGTTTGAACGGAAATGTGCTGTACCTAGGGGATGTGACCAGGGTAGCGCTGGTAAGAAGTAAAGTCAACAACCAGGGTCTCATCTTTGTATCCAGGGCTCTTCAGGGCATTTGATTTGGTCACCTCGAAAGTCACTTATCCACTTTCACTCACAGTCTTTCATTTTACAGTAGCTCACAACTGATAAAAGATAAAATTTTTGCTGTGAAAAGCGTGTCAATTCCCTTTATAAACTATCAGTCAGAAGTACTCAAACCCCGAATTCCTGTATGTCAAACCTGGCTGAAATGGGTAGGAATAGTGTCCGTATTGATCTATTATGCTCTTTTTAGGTGAATAGAAGGCCCTATCTTTTTACTGTGGTAGTTTACAGCAGTAAATCTTAGGTGATTATACCTTATACCATTCTGCGATTTCATTTAGATGTCATGCATGTTTTTGGGGTCTTATAGTCACGTTTCTTTTTCTTGCAGCCTTCATAGTAATCGGTAGGTCTGTTGAACTAACGAACACGTCACCTCAAAAATCAATGTTGGCATTGACATTTTTCTTCAGCAACAGCAACAAACCATGGGTCAAAGCACTATCGGTGCCGATGATATCCAGTTTTGGCTTTTCTAATCTAGGTTTAGAAGAAGATGGGCCAGCCATAAAGCCTTTGACTTCTTCGGACCCGAACCGTTCTTCTGGGCATAACCTAATCTTAAACACATCTTCAACTTCACTTTCACCTATCGCTCCGATCGAATACCGTTCACGAAGACCCGGAGGCACCTAAGCCTTGCTGTTCCTTAACGAACTGTTCCGAAAAGACCTACCTCTTTTTTGATTTCTAGTTGAACCTTAATGTGAGCGGCAGCTTTGCGAGTAATAAGTCCTACACCGACTTCCTGAACAAAGAAAAAATATGCATCAACAAACGTCACTTGAGGCAGAGCCACGTAGCACTCCGTTCGTTACCTACGACTTCAGTTCCTTTCCCATGCTCACCTTCATGTACTCCTCGAAGTTTTCGCTCTTGTCCAATACCCATTTGCCTTCGAAATTCATTATTCTGCAAGTACGGAAGTGAAATGAAACCCAGACAGCGTTCGCAAAGATAAGGCTGAAGAGGTACCGAATCAATATCAACAGCAGGATTAAATAGCACTACTGCTCAAAATACTATGTTTTCTCGTTTACTAAAAAAACTGGAAGAGAGGAGCTTTCAGAGTTGTATCAAAGAAAATTCGGAGCACCGATACTCTAGAATCCATCAATACTGTTGAGTTCTCCATAGCTGCTCTTCGAAAACACGATTATGGCCCATTTAATTTATTACGAGAAAAATCACAAAATGTTGCGAAAAAAATCCACACCTAGAGTGGCATCGCTTTTATAATGGTCCGAAAAAGAATGATTTGCAGCGAGAAAGGTTATCAGTGCTATCAGTGCTACGGTGATGGTCTTCGGAGACGAGTGATTAGAAAAGAGCGGTTGATTGTTGGGAGAACAATTCTGCGACTCTAAACTGCTCGAAGAAGTCGAGCCTAACAGCACCTGGAAGTGGGCACAGCGAATCAGCATGACCGATTTTTGAATTGTTCCAACAACAAGCTAATTTCTCGGTCTATTTTTCAGACGTACGTAAACTACCTGTTTGGTACCAAACGGCACACTACCCTAAACATGGTCTGGCATCGAATTCAGGAACCGCTAGGCAAGCCTGCTATTCTTATGGAGTCCCTAATACACTACTATGGGAGGTTGAAGTCCCTGGCCTATGCATCGCCTGGCCACTGCAATTCATACATAGCATAGGCCCCATACCCATTTGAATACACCGCTGCCAATTAGATGGACCATGAGAGTCGAATGGGAATCCTAAAAAGGGTTTGATCAATGCCAATGAAGATTATTTTCATTTAAGCTCTACCTCACAGATAAGCGGTGATTGTACTGAGGACAGAATAGGAAAGAGAGCGGTTGCAATAAAATGCTAACGAGCTATTGTTGGGGATGTTCGATTATATTAGATGGCAATCACCCAGTGATCGATAAAAGCCGTTGATTCTACAACACATACATTTTCTACCTCCACATCGGGGGATGATGGTACTGTCATAGTTGGAGAATCATGGAACAGTGCAAACAGGGAATCCACACCCATTACGTAGGTGGGTAGGTATCGATCTGGAGCGTCGTGGAATATCGGTACGTCAACGAAGGAACTACGGAACGGCACCACCAGCAGCATAACGAACTAAGCAGCGATGAAGGATACTATTCAATTCAACTGGAAGTCGAAATTTCCGGAAAGGTGTGAGCTCATATGACAAGTGAAAGGAGCCTGAGATTCAATACCTCGAACTTCCCCGACAAATTACAGAAAACAGTACTCGTACTCTTCCTTGCAGCAGTTTTGAAGCTTACTACCCTAATGTCCATTCTCCATTGAATTAAATACACCTAGCCTTCAAACCGGATACTTGAGTGCAATTGTGGACGCCGCATTTTCTCTACAAATTGTAGCGATTTTCGACAAAAACCTGAACCGTCCATTGACTATTGAAAAGAAGACTTGCTTTTATGGCTATCCGAGAAGTTCAGAAAAGTGCCTGACAAACAGGAATATTTCCTTCGAGAAGGCCGAGAAAAAACCCCGATATGCTCTTGAACTTTTCAGTAAGGTGGACCAAAGTAATTTATTCTCACGAGTAGAGTAAAATCTGTAAAATCTGAGTTTGAGATGAAATTCGTAGAAACCATAGACAATACTGAGCGACAGTCGGTGCTTGATCGGAATGCAACTTGTTTGAATCTTCGGGTGAAGTATGGTGACTGGAATGAGCGATGAATCTCAATCACACCGACGGAGAAGTAAGGACACTACATATTTTCTTTGATCCCTAGCCCCACGCTATCCCTTTTAAGAACACGTGGGAAAGCGCCTGATTCACAGATTGGGAGCGGCTGATTACTGACCTTTCCCACTTGACTTGGATGCAAGATTCTTTCAGACCATTTTCACGTAAGAAATGGCAAATAAGAAGGAACCTGAGGCAGAAAATCATTCGTCGTAGGGTCCTAGGAACATGGAAAAGACCTCAGAGGGCGAAATCAATAGAGAAGACGAGTTCGTTCAAAAGTGTAAAGATGGTAATCAGTTGAATGAGGTAGACAAACTCGTTTGGACCCTCTCAAAGAACCAACTGAGACGGAAAGTATGTTGTGGGTTGTCCTTGAACCGCTGAATCCGATGAATAGTCTATTTACTAGTTGTGAGCAGAAGTCGCCGACAGAAACACGTTATGGAGTAATCGGATGGCGGGTTCAGAAAGAAATAATCTGATCGTAGACTGATGCACTGCCGTTGCCCACCACTGGTTCACCGCTAATCATTGAAACTGAAAGTGCCCCAAATTTTTTTCGTAGGGAATTTGTAACAAGGCCATTTCAATGACTAATCAACGGCTCTTCGTCAGCGTAACGATCTGCCCACGGACCCCTTTGTCATAGGGATTTTGAAGGTCTTCGTTGATTCACTCTCGATGACATAACCAGACATTGGAGTCGACATAGATTTCAATACAACGGCTAGTCATCTGGTACCAGACAATACTGGATTCGATACCAGGCAGTTCGAGAAGACCCTGGAATGTAGCAGGTAAATGTGGAGCATTCCTGATTAATTGAGGGTATACTGCCAGCTTGTTTTATGGTTCTACTCCAGTTGAGAGGAGTTAATAGCCTATAGCTCCTCTCTACAAGGTTGTAAAATGGTCTCTAATCTGAACTCGTATTTTTGGCCACAAGGTCGTGCCCTGGTGATCGTAAATCGGAGTCAGATATCTTTTTATCAGAGGTTGTTGCATAGGTTGCAAACAGAGTCGGCGCTTCCCCGTTATCGCCATGTTTGGTGTCTGGTCTTCGACCTACTACGTCACCTAACAATTTTCAAGTGCCTTACAGAGAACATGAATGTCAGAATGTATTTACTAAAGATATACACATTTGTATTTCAATTGTTGTTAGGCTTTCTGAAAATCTGGAAATGCTTGACTTTAAATTTCGTTCCACCGAGAAAGATGTTCAGTTATTTTCTGCGAAGTAGAAGGCAATGGACAACTTCCTAACGTTGGCCATTCAATTCAAGGACGTACCCTGCGAACCTCCTATAAACCCAAGGTATATTCCCACAAAGCTCGAAAGGACATTCTGAGACTTCAGCTCTTCAATGATAAGGATTTCACACGGCCAGGCATAAATACAGCGGTTGTAGTGGAGGCTTACAACCTTTCTCATCGAACTTTACTGTCATGGCTTGCATTCAAGTTCTCGCTGTATCACTTCACAAGGAGAATGCTGCTTACTACTGTACTCCCTCCCCAGCAAGATTCACGCCTGAGTGGTCTGGTGCAGGGATGGGGAAGTACCCGAGATTGGGCGTCACTGTCTGGTTAAAGGCACCGTTCACGATAAAAAAGGTTATTGAGTTCTTACCTTATTAATACTCAGCGACCCCCATGGCTTGTAGAAGGGACCCTCTCACTCCCCCAATCTCGACGTCCAGGGCATAGTGGCAGTCCCGTTGTTGCCGTAGTTCGCGTTCCCGCCCCTTGGTCGATGAGAAGAATAGTAGCAGTTCAGCAGAATAATAGCAGGGAGAAATCCGATCAGATGTTTGGGTGTGTTGTCTGCAGTTGCAGACATTGCGTCGCCTTCGTGCACTCGCCCGAACACTCCCTAACCGCCGTTCTTTTAATGTGAAACTCGTCCAACCCCCCTTTCCAGCTCTTTTTTGACCCTTTGTATTTCTTTTTGTTCATCGTTTTTTGCGCTCTTTTCGTTGTTATCGCTTTATTCTAGAGAAGTTCTATCAATTCCCTTCAGAAAAGGGTAAACTAAATTTATGTGAACGGTGCCTTTAAGACAAATCTAATCTATTCCATACTAGGAAAACCAGTGAAGTATTTCGGCTTGTGAAAGATGCCGACAGAAACGGCTCGATACAAAAGCCTTCTAGAAGTTTGAAGGTTCCACGACAAGGTTGCCAAGCACGAGTCATAAGTCCAACGCAAAGAATTTGTTTATTTATTTATTCGTTTATTATGCATAGTAGATGAACACTGTTCTAACAAATTACTTATTAACTTATCTATTTTTTCACATTACAGGCCAAATACTAACGAGAATGACGCTCACAGTGACAGCAGACGGTGTCGTTTGTGAAGGCACTACTATGTATCTATACAGTCCAACATGAGACAATTCGTTTCCTGGGAAATTCTTATAGTGGAAATAAAATCAACAAATGGTTATTGGTTAAGTCACATTGTTACTTATTTACAATTCTCTAAAAAAAGTCAAACGCATGGCGCATTTATAGCTTTTCATGGGATTCAGGCACTTTTCAGCAACGTCATATTCCGATAGATTTCCTAGCGAATAGTAACTAGTTTACAGAAGTTCTAGCGATTGCCAATGTTTAGCAGAGATCCAGCATGGATTAACCAGTAGTTCGGACGCACGTTCCCAGAAGACCGAAAAGACCATTTCGACAAGAGACCACCGATGGTCCACTTGCAATATATCCAGGATTGCATATCATGGTAGCAGTGGATCCTTCTGGATATGGAACTTCTGACGAACTGTAGATGACATGGCTATTCACTGGTGGGACAACGCCTAAGGCACAAGGCGTGTTCGTCGACAAGCCACTTATGACGGTTCCACCGGCACCGATAGGCGATGCTGAAAAGATAGTTTGACCCGGTGAAGTGGGACAGTCGAAATGGACTTACCGTTGATGGGGGTGCATACTCCAAGAGTGGGCGGCGCCCATTGACCATTCACGCATGATGATACGGATGGACCTGATTGAGAAGAAGTCAATTTGGAATAATCATCTTACAGTATGCCGATAAGAAAACTAATCGGCTACACTATACTATGCATATTCATATACATATTTACTACTTAATTCATAGATACATACTTTCTAATTTATGCTTCATATTTGTTTATTTGTTTGTTTACTCCATTCGTTTGTTAATCCATACGCACATTTTACATAATTCGAAGGAAACCTCGAGTTTGTCTTAATTCATTCAGAACTAGCAACGCTTCCCGTTTGTTAACACTAATCTATCAGTTGGGCGGTGAACACCCTCTGGAGTCCGTCCTAAAACTGAAGCCCATACTCACCTGAAACAAGCGAGTTGGGACTATTACATCTCATCGTTACAGTTGTTCCGTGATCCTGTAGGCCAGCCAGTGCAGTACTGGTCTCACCACTGCTGTATGCTAGTGTTGCACCCAATGGCTGCAGCATAGGAAGGCATTGGGCTTTCCGAACTGAATGAGAGGTTTAACTTATAAAAAGGAAATTAGTTAAGGAAGTCCTATTCTAAATAGAATCCAATTAAGGCAAAGAAACTTACGTCCAGAAGCTCCTCCGAATCCCGGTATCGCGGTACAGATACCGAACGTTGGTGGCACCCATTGACCGTTGGTACAGGTAAGAGTGGAAGCTCCTGAAACAGAGGCGTGATTCCGAACCAAAATAATATATAATTTCGTTCTTTAGATTACAAATATGGGCGGAAATTGGATGATTTCAATTGATGTACTTACTGGCACACGTGGTCCATACAATCCCGAATCCGTGATACTTTACCGAAGCATCGAGAACTTGTACAGAACCTCCCTCCCCTTCACCTATTCATTGAGCTCAAAGAAAGATGTAGAACTTTTAGAGAATACTCAGTCAGTGTTCGATGGTGTCAATTTCAGGACCACTCCATTGTGGGGTAGAAAACCACCGGAATCAAGTGCAGTAGGGTGGGAGTTCTGTACGTTATGTTACGTGCACGTAGGATAAGTGGGTTCATTTTGAGGTTTGAAAATCCCTATGAAACCTCAGGATATCTCCAGTGATATGGGACAAACGAGTTTCTCGGCTCAGTTGTGGAACTAGAGCTCAAAGATTTTGTGGGAGGAAAGATTTTCTGAAGAAGCAGCAAGTCTTTTGCTGAACACCCTATCTGCTACCCACTCTCATTGGGTTTCCAATATGCAAACTGCTTATATAAACTTGAGTAATATCACATTTAATGAAATACTAAAGCACTCTTAATGTCTAGGCTCGGAGTAGGAGCTCCAGTTGTCTTACCATTCATTATCAATCCATTCGAGCATGTTGCCGTAACACTGGTCCCTTCATAGGCGACTCCAGTAAATGTGGTCTTTCCACCGAGCGGTGCCACTACTGGTGGACATTTTAGCGCTGCTAAAAAATTTTACTTCAAATGCGAATCTCAAAGAAAAGAAGGTTTGAAGCTCACCTTGAACGCAAGGAATCAGAGCAACGATTGCCACTGAACAAATGAAAAAGCGCATTATAATTCGAATCTGAAGTTGGAATCAGGAAAGTGAATCAAACGGCTTCCAAGATGATTTCCTCGAGTAAATCACGGCAATCACGAAAAAAAGGGAAATCGTTTGCTCTTTGGTTAGGTTTGGCCTCAACACTGGCTGTTTTTATAGGCATCTATAGGCGTGTGCAAATGCAAATGTCACAAAAATCACTATAATCTCTCAACAACGAGTGATTTTTGATGTGCGGTATTGGATTCAATTGCGTCGCCTTTTGGCATCTTTCAAGGTTCGCTTACTGATGCTGTTTATGTTTACCAGGTAGGTTTGATTTGTTTGAGCAGATGTCGATAGGCTGAATGGCGTTGCTACGACTGGCTTTGTGCAGGGAGCATTCCTAGACCGTCGTTGCCATCTAGGGTTTCTACCAAGGGGCTAGGGTAGGACTCTTTCTAAGAAGTTGGTAAAGTTAACTCAAAATTCCTGTGTGGAATTGTAAGTGAGAAGGGGCTATTTGGATGTATTCACTGCTCATAATAAGGATTAACTAGCATAATAAATATTATCATTCTTTACCATCACCTCTTATCATCTGTTATCGTCGGTGATTCGATAGCTTGCTTTCCTATTTCTTCACTCCTTACTGTGAACAACCAAAAGTTCTGGAAATTTTTAAAATTCAATGAACTCCCTGAGTTTCCCCCCTAACCAGTCTTTCATCTCTAGTAGTTAAAATTTGAATGGGAATAATCGATCATCACCAACGACCGAAGACCACTGCGCTGCCATACACACCTGAGCTTCAAAGATCAGATATTCCAGTTCCGCCATATGATTGCCTGCATACATCAAAGTTAGATTTGGCAATCTGTCAACAGAACAACNAAGGATAATGTGAACAATCCTGAGTAGAATGGATGTGGTTGAGCATTTATTCAGCGACCAACGCACCACCAAGTATGACCTAGCAAAGAAAGTACGCCTCCGTTACATGATTCTTTTTACACTATCGTGATGTAACTTTACATTGTCCAATTTGGACAGTGGTGGTGCAGTGGAAAGCGGAAAAATAATACTATGCAGACCATATGGTCTGGTTTCAGACTCCTGACCGCCATCGCCAGGGACAAGAACCATATTTTCCATGTCTCCGGGTCCATTGACTTGTACCCGACCCTCCTAGGAGAACTAATGCACATCTTATCCCCGGCTGGCTACCGCTGTGCATTTTCTGCAGATTACATGGGTCTCTACGATTGCAAGTGAAAGTCGGGTGCACGGATGGATGATGAACGGTAATGGACGCATTGACCAAAAGTTTAGAAGACAGAATCTCTTCACAGTAGACGGTTTGGGTTCAACTCTTCGTTTAAAAAAAGCTGAAGTGGTAGTCTGAATTGACAGCAATCAGAAAAGAATATACCGGTTCTAGTGCAGTCCAAATGGATATGAATATACAGTAATCCAAATCCATTCTGTTCTGAATGACAAAAAAATTGGAATAATTCAAACATAGGAGGCAAAGCTACTGCAGGCTATTGCAAATGCAGCGATAATTGGCCATGGGGAAGGTTTACGGCTAAGCGTTGCCACCGAGCAGGTTGCAGCCAGCGATCATCTCACTTTCCTTTTCTATCGCCTGCTTAACCGATAAATGGTCACAGTTCTGAGGTGATTCATCGTTTCATATAGAAGCCAAGACCGGCTGCAGAGGCTGCTCTATACATCAGACCACTATATGAAGAGTTCACAAAAAGATAATTAGGTAATCTTCGATCACACACCCAGATGGACGTTACGCTCGAAATAGTAGGCTTTCTAATGTTTCAGAGTCTGATACAGCTCTAGAAAATCTATTTTGAAGGATGTAGTGTTATCCCGAACCGTCTTGGTATCCACGGGGGTTCGTAATCGGTTATGAATCGCAGGTGGATATGAATAGCCCGTCTACTATACTATGCGCTATGCCGTGGTCAGCAAACGCTGAAGCCAAATCTTTATTTCTGGTTAAGCATGCATAAAGTCTTCAAAAAGGGTAACGTTTTTGGGCGTTCATCAATTCCATCTGAGGGATGCGCTCCTGCATTCAACTTCCATTCAGAATTGTAGTGGCGTAATGAATGCGTATGTGGCCTGCACAGTGACTTGCAGGTGGCCAGCCGATGTACAAGTCAGTGCTTTTATCCTCCCAGACGAGTCTAGTACCGAATAAATAACCCTGGAGGGATGGAAAGCTTGGTTGGCCTAGGTGGATTTCGACCCGAGATGCGAACCCCTGACCATGAGCGTGTGATAGTGCCCACTTGCCACTGCATCACCTCCGCCTTACAGTGAAACTTACCAATGTATAAATACCGTAGTAGAGAAGTAAATCGCTAGGAAGGATGTGTATTAGTATTAGGAAATAACTTGAACTAGAAAGTGGCGATCGCGAAGAGAGCTGTGATGGCAACTGAGAGGAAAGAGTTTGTGCAAGATGGAATGCAATAGAGCCAAACGCAAACAGGTGCCTATTGAAATAAATTCTATTGAAGTGGGAGGCTTAAAATAGCAATTGGTAGAAGGAGACACATCATTGGATGACATCAATTCAAAATAACTTATGAGTAACTCGCTTTTAGGCATACTGTGTGAAGCGAGTGCGGGAACTGGAATTGATGTCAATTATATATACCACTCCGATTATGGCACGTCAAAGAACGCATTACACAGTTATTGTTATTTTTAGAATGTCAACACCAACAAATTTACAGGTCGCTGGTCTCTTAGAGTAATTATAACTCCAAATATAAACACAATCTGCGGTTGCTCCTCCCATGAATTACTAGCTACCTCTCCACAACTCTTTCCTATTTTCAGTAGCATACCATATACGAATGTGGGCGAAGATGGTGCAGTGACAACTGTCAACACACTTGAGGGCTATCCATCCAGGGTCATTTAACTGGTACAACACTCACCTGGGAGAATAAAGCACAGGAATGTGCACTGGCCGACTATCGCAAGTCATTGTCTAAATGGAAGTCGAATGTGGAGCTCAATCCAAAGGGATTGATTGACGTCAAGGACATTTCTTCTCATCCTTTTGCCTAATTCAGTTCACAAAGTTTCGTTATTAGTAGATTCTCCCTAAGGGCTACCTCTCCCACTCATCGAGGTAACATCAGAAAACGTAGTCAAGAGTTCTTTTCCCACAAACGCCACCCTCTAAGCATATCAGCAGTCCACCGGTACATTTTCTTCTGAATCTTTGACTTATGGCTGCCAATTTTTTCAGTTTCGAGCCCCACGCTCTGGAACCGAGTGCACGCAACTCGCAAATTTTCCGCCCTCTTCAGTATCATTATGGAACATGATCAATCGTAAATGCTGCAGATGTCTGGTCTTCTTAACAGTCTCTGTCCAGCTAAAGATGAGAGAGCAGCTCTTGCAATGTTTTGGACAGAGAATCATCCTACAAGGAAGGTTACTGAGGGCAAGAGGATCCACTAACAGCCCGAAAGAAGAGGTGGCGAGACGCGATCAAGAAGGACGTTGCCAAAGAAGCTAAGGTGACGGCAGAAGATGCCGTTAATAGAAATATGCGGAAACGGACGAGATCAGGGGCCCCTGCGACGGCGCAAGATTAAGGACTGGGGAGAAGAAGAAGAGGAAGTCTGGACTTCATTTTATTAAAGATTTGTGGTGTCCCTCACAAACTCTTCCTAGGGACAGACAATTTGATGATTTGATCATCCGAAAAACCATTGAGTTAGGTTTGTAAAAAAATAATTGGCCTCCGGAGGATGTTTATCGCCTGCTGAGTCATGCAACGTGTTCCGATCGGCAGCTGACGCATCTCTATTTGGATCGTGAAAAGATTGAAAACTCTTTACGCTGGAAGCCGTTCTTGCATATGCAATTTTGGTGTGTCCAGGCTGTGAAAAACTGTTTTCTTTCAAACCCAGCAGTCTGACTCATGCGCTGTCCAGTGGTCTATCAAACGATGAAGGGCTTGCTGAGTAGGCCTCCAGTCAAGTACAGAGGTAGCTCTCTGGATACTGTTCACGGCAAACTTGTCTCAGAATTCAACAACTTCAGCAATCCTCCTGTCAGCAATCGTAGGGGCAATATTACCCAGATAATGCTTTGATAATGAGTTCCACCAAAAGTCGAACGAACCCTTCACCAACACGACTTTCTTACCTTCCCAACAATAAGACTCCTGCCCGCTATCCCACCCTCATATCATTCCTATTTTTATCGTTTTGTTTGTTTCTTCAGCTCTACATTATTTTACCACGACAAAATGCGACTGGGTTTACAATTAGGGGGAGGGGTAGGGAATAGAGTTAACGTGCCCTCCCATACATTCCCCTCTCCACTTAGTTTTGATGCTTCGTGGGAGGAATGCTACTGATCTGTTGAACACTTGGATAAATGTAGAATTTCATTTTTAGCTCAGGGATACGACATGTGTTAGTAGGCCATGTAGGGAGTCTTGGACCCGTTGAGAGGAGCACTATGCCCGTGTGCGGAGGTAGGAGCGACATTTCCAAGGGAGAAATAAGACTTTTCCGACTAACAGACTCGCGTGGGAGAGGATGCGAGCTAGAAGTGGTGCAGTTGGATCGAAATTGTCGCATCGCGGGAGAGAAACGCCGCGCGCGAAGGAACGTAGCAGAATGCAGTAGCAGGTAAGAAATACAGGAACAAAAGAACTAGAAGTGGAATCATGCCAAAAATAATGATCGCACAAGAGCTGAGCTGTATGGCTGCTTTCATAGTCCGCCGGCCGGCGCGCCGGCGAGCCGGCGGAGGCAGTGCTAGGGGGGAGGAGGGAGACAGACAGTGTAAGGAAAACAGTCCACGCCCCTTCGAAGGTTGTTTGTTTTCCACCCCTCGATGGGGCGTGGACTGTTTGCCTATCTGTCTGCCTCCCTCCTCCCCCTAGCACAGCCTCCGCCGGCACGCCGGCCGCCCGGCCGGCCGGCGGACTATGAAAGCAGCCTATGAAGAACGCTAGAACTGTTATAACGAGGCAAATGGTCCGCGATAGCCGCGTGTGGCGAATCGATTACACAGAACCGATCGTACTGCCCGTCTTCCATGCGGGCTGACTACATTTTTTTGAATTTTTTAATTCCATTGTTTCAAGTCTCCCAAAGTTCTAGGCGAAATGATTTACAACGGACGACATTTTTATTTTCACCTCATGAAAGTTGTAATTATTCTGAAGTTGTGTTGAATCAAAGGATTTTGTCATAGCAAACGCTTGAATTTCAAACATCTTGAATTCTCATCGAACTCTGAACATCATTTACTTAACAGCCATCTAGGGATGTACCTTACTGAAATCCTTTTCACTATTTATTCACAAAGAAAAATAGGGTAACTGCCTTTATACATCAACAGCTTGATAATTTCAGTGACAACGTGCTATTTGGGTGCCAATTCATTAAAATATACAACACGTTTAATTACGAAAGTTCAGCCAGACATATCAACTGCGTCGTGGCTTCCCACGAGGAATTTTCGGCTCTCCAGTTGATTTGTCCGACAAGCACGCGATGGTCTCAGTTCTCGTTATTCCACCTTCTCCAACTGAATACATGAATTTGCCCAAGTTAGCACATGCAGCTCCATACGTGCCAGCTGCATTAGCTGCTACGACCGCTCCTGAACCTAATTGTTTGAGTGTTCGAAGGAAATGACAATGAAGCAGTTTACCTTGGAAATGAGGATAGTATTGAAGTATCCGGCGGATGGCTTTATGTGATGCTTTGAAGGGTTTCGTTCCTTGACGCATCTGTTCCACGATAAAGAAACTGAAAGTTACTTTCAGAGAGAAGCTCTTCAAAAACCGACCCGGTTTAGGTTACCTGGGTAAAAATCGAAGAAGAATGTCACCGTCTCCGGTGGCAGCAGCGCCTCCCACACCTTCTATTGCATACGCACCAGCACCCGGAATTGGTGAATCTCCAATTCTGCCCGGGATCTAAAACCCAGGATTATTCAACATGTATGTTTTCCGAAGAGTTGATCAAACAGCGCATAACTTATAACGGGCTCCGTTGGTTGAGGTGCCAGCACTAACATTCCCTGATGAATCGACCACCACCATTCCGAGTGTATCATGGTGGAACCTGAAGAAGGGTAAATAAGAAAATTCGCTCCAACGAAAAGGATGGTTGAGAAGTAGATGAAAGAAGAATCGAAAAGGAGACCTGTCTATTGTTCGTGGTACCCGTGTGTATCGGTTGTAATTCCTTCTTTGTACAATATTTGCAGGACGGTAAGGGCCACATGAAGTGGATGGATCCGGCCAAACGTTCTGTAAAAGCATCCTATTGAAAAAATTTATTAAATGTCTCATGCGGGAGAGGGACGGGCAAAGTGCCAATCTGCAAATCTCTACTGTGTAATCCAGTTTTAGTACCGAGGCAAGATTACACAGGTGTTTAGATACTTCGAGATCCCCTCAACTGTGACTGGCTGGTTCAAAACGGTCGGTGATACTTCAACTTCTTTTCGTAGTGATCGTTTCGTAGACTTTTGAGGAGCACCATAAAACCGGAGCCAGTTTCATCTCTTGACGGTATTAAAAAGTCGAAGAAGTAGGTATGAGGCGAACTTTTCATTAAAACAATATCCCATTTTTAAGACACATTTCACGAGGATGTTTCCTGAGGTTTCCCCATAGGTTGAATTCGAAGCCCTTCTTGATAACATACGTGCCGATGTCAGGACGGGGAACGTCCTGGCAAGGGCACAATAAGGGGCCAGACATTGTATCGTATGAACGCCACACCACAGCGTACGAGTTTCGGCGGTGTTGTCATTTCAATGGTGCACTCTCTCAAGGGCCCCCATATTGCAAATTTGAACTACTTTTCATGACCCATGGCGACAGTGGAAACCAGTTTTAGACAATTCCGACTTGATGTATTCAGCTCTTTGCGCGATTGTAACAGACTGAAATCTTGTCCGAATACCTCCTCCATGCCATTTTCGCCATGGTAGTCTCGTACAAACTCTATTCCCACTACTTTTGAAAAAACTTTTTTTTCGCGCAATAGGCGGATTCTCTCGCTATCTTGCTACCGATGCACTACTTAACAACAACTCTTCCTCTTTTCAACAAACTAGTAATAATTGCAAAGCTCTCTTTTACTGCTGAAGAACTACATAAATAAGTAGGAATTACATCTAAGTGAGAGTGAAACTCAGATTTGGATATGAAAGGGTACTGATAGGACACACTTCAGCACTATGATATCGGCCGATACTATTAATATGCTACGACCTTCTGTTACCTATCGTGCGGCACTTCCAGAGGCTATAGGAAAGCAAAAATACGTGATCCCTCATAAAACACGTACGAGAAGATTTTAGACAACCTCATTTGAGACTTACTTGTTCCCAGGACGTATTCGGTAGGGGATTATCTTTAGGACTTTCGTTAACCCTGGCCATTGAATTCAAGAAGTAGAGCTCGAGCAGCATAGATTATCAAACACTGGGCATTTGAAGCGAAACAAATGGGCCCTCATATCGTCACATCAGAAGTTTGAAACAAAAAAATACACCTGCCTGCCAGAAGTTTGGTTGACAACGATTACTTCTCCACTGCGCGATCATTTGACGGGAGACGTCCGTCGTTAGATCTTCTTCTCTGAATCCCATTTGTTTGGCAAAGTTCGTTGCTAAAACGGTGCTTGTCTTAGATACCAGGCAATCTTGGCGAATGTGAATCAAAATCACTTCTCTTGTAGGTTGAAGGTCATACTCACTGAAGGTTTAATGGATGTAAAGATGCCCTCAGGGGAAGTAAAGTCTTATTAGTGAAATAGGAATACCCGAAATGGTCAACCTCTTCCTGAACAAAATTCCCGGTTATGATCTTGAGCTTTATGAGAAACCGTCAGCCATCTACCATAGCCGTGTAGGAAAGGCTGAAGGCAGCTTTCGGGTGACTGTAATGCGTGATTCCTAGCGTTAGGTAAAGGCCATAACAATTACCATTGCTGAAGCCGAATCAAGTTTCAAGGAACTAGCATCAATGAAAGCTAATTGTCTATCAGTTGCTTTGCTACGTCCTTCTAGTTTCCTTGTTTAGCCTTAACTCCAATTCTTCCGAGTCTCATCAATCCCGTCGTTAGGATGCGCCCCGCATTTGACTTCTATTCGTGTTCGTTATGGCATTTATATACCCATTAAAAACACAATCTTGGGACATGCAATCGATTTGCAGGTCAGTGCTTTTATCTCCCCAGATGGACATGGTATATGGTACCAACCGCCCATCCCGAAGAAACGGAAAACCTTTGATTGAGCTGGAGGGTATCACTTCGAGACTCGATTCTTGGAATATGCGTGTGATGGGGCGAAAATGGCGTTACACTACTTCAGATCTCCCCCATTCATCCAGTTGTGTATTTGCTGCTCAGTAACGAATCTTCTGAGATGATAAAAATTCAACTAGTGCCTTTCCCAAATATCTCATCCGAAGTGAGTAAACAAACGAAAAGTTTCCAGCTTTTCTCCTGCTTCACCCTCGGCATAGCTGTTGTTTGTGATAATTACGATCTTGGGCCATACGAAGTTTTTAGGTCGAACAGTTTATCCAGTCAGACGGCCTGCGTTTCGACGCAATCGTTGTCTTCAGATGCCAAGGTTCCGCCGCTCACGTGGAGAAAATCCGCTTCTGAAGACGTCGATTGCGTCAAAACGTCAGGCCGTTTGACTGAATTAACTGTTCCACCTGAAAACCTCGTGTGGCACAAGATCGTAATTACCAAAAACAAACGAAAAGTGATGTGCTGATGAGAATATCTTCGGTGATAAAATTGACTTATTATGGTGTTTCACACCCACCTTCCCCTCCCCCCACCCCCCTTTGGGCAAGTTTCAGAAAAGCTTCCTAACATTCTTGCTGTACATACCTGCTTCTCCGACCAGCATAGAGTGCTTCGTATAGTTCATCACTGCCCAAGCAACCCGAGCCGCATCTTTGATACGATGCAAGTTGGCCACGGCCCCAATACGCATCCCATGCCTCAAAAGAAGAAAAGTCACTGCAATTGGAATATGATGAACAAAAAAGCAACTGGAAAATGGCTCTTGAGCATAAGCTTCCATAGAAGCTTCTGCGAAACGTACCCATCCATGAGTAGAGCGTCCAGCGTTGTTTCACCAGTTTCATCCGGAGAACCCCCATATCCAACAGTTGTATCACACTGAAGTCGTTCGCATGCTGATAATCCCTCAACAAGCGCGTACAGTCGACCACCGGGCAGCGCTTTTACAGCTATAAATACTTCTGCATCTTGAGATGATACTTCGAGCTTTTTTTACTATAATATAATTAATATTTCAAAAAATAGCCAGTTGATATTGAACTTTTCGACGCTTGTTACTAACTTTATCTTACAAATGAACTAAGAATTCCATATCATACTAAATGGGCGGAAGTAAAGGAAGACAAGGATGCACACGATAGCATGGTCTGAGGATCGGATGCAGTTTAGTGCCTCCCAGCCAACCGAGCCTTTCCTCTCTGAGAGGTCGGTCAATTGTTACCAGATTCGTCTGGGAGGTCAAAAGCACCGTTTTGGGAATAGGCCGACCATTGCAAGTCGTTGTGTAGACCATATACGCATTCAAGATACTACGATTATGAATGGGATCGTATGCATGGATGATTCCTATGAAGGATCAATCGATTGATTAACCCCAAGGAACATTACCCATTACCCCTTATGACATAGAATGACATCAACCTGTGGCACTTCGACAGTCTGCTGCGAATTTTATAAGCTACCACAATTATGAATTGACAGTTTCCCGATTCGTTTACTGAGGGGGGAACGAGTAGGAAAAGCAGAGTGCTCGAGCAGGGAACTCATACACCGCATGAACGAGGGCTGTTGGTAATGGAATCGAACTGGATACGGTATGCCATTGGAAAATGGAAAATCTGTCTCGAATTCAAATATTCTAATACACCGGGCCTTCTCATTTTGTTTCTCTTCGAATTGGCCAATGTGCTAGCTTTCAACACTGGCCTCCTTGAATTCATGGTAACAGATGTTCCCCTTGCCTACTCTTTAAGTTCTACTGGCGATGCTCCGAAGGCAATATAACAAATTGACTTATCAAATGGTATCATTCGTTAATAAATAAAGTCAATGGACGCAGCGCGTGTCTAAAGTTTCCTGCTAGTGGTAAGTTCCATGCTGAACGTTCAAAGGGTGGAAGAGGGGTCTATGACATAGGCAATGGCCAAGGTCATTCATTGGCTAGCTGGTAAATCAATCTGGTACTTTTTGATAGTACAGAAAGAAACGTGTAGCAATGAAGATAAACAGAAATAAATAAACAAAAGCAATCAAAACAAACAGCCAATAACAAGCTGTTAACTGAACAACCTACGAGAAGGCAAGGAATTATTGTCATTTTTGGTTTTTTTTTTGTTCGGTATATGTCTTCTTCAACATTTGATCCTTCGTTAAGCCTGACAGTAGCTTCTTATGCAGTAACCTGCTTTTTTTGTTGTTTTTTTTTNTTTTTTTTTCGGAAATTGACAGTACTTCAACTGCTTTCCTTGCTACCGACTACTTCCACTGCTAACGAACCTTTTACTTCGGAAACATTCCCCTGGGAATCAACACATGAATAACCAATGGCCCATATGTGGACTTTACAACCGATTGATTGAGGATTACCAGATTTGTACCATAATTTCCTACCAGGCACGTCTAGGGAGTTCCAGTTAGTACTGTGTGGAGTGAAGGGACCCATCCGGTTATGAGTTCCTAAACGCAAACCAAATAGTCACAGCTGTCGCTCACACCCATGAAAGGTCGGGAAAGGACGTCCAAAACCATGACTCGCACCCCCACAGAACGACAACGTACTTCAAAATTTCGCTGTAAACCCCCTTCGAAAATTCACCGGCCTCACTTCATTCCAATTATTCTTCAGTCGTACTCCCGGAACGTTGCCCCTTTTGGTTACCATGTGCTCCGCCTTCTCAAGCATCCCTTTGTGGGGAAAAAATACGTGACTTGACATGATCCAAAAACGACAATCACTGATTTCGTTGAGCCTCAGTTTCCTGACTTCGGGATAAAAAGCATCAGTGTTTTGTTCAGAGGATAAGGGAATTCTGATGATCTTTCTGGTGACTTCATTTATAATATTCGACTAATTTAGAAAATTGTAGAAAAAATCCGAAATGACTGTCTTTTTGCGGCAAAACTTTCTTGCCAACCTATTATATCTGATTGTCTGGCTTGCATTAATTTTGCGCTATTTTTTCCTGAGCTCCAAGGGCATTACTATTAAACAGGTGCACATCGATTATTGATTGATCGGGAGTCGAACTCACAATCAGAGCTGCTTAAATCGTTCTTTTCTGAATTTTTTTCAAACTACTGGATATGAACCTTGAGTAACCCTAACCAACTCTTCTCTTTTGTTTCTATTTATTTGTTTATTTAGTTGTTTTTCATAGCAACGTTATTTGTATGAACAGGATAAACAGGCCTGGCTCTTCTTTAAAATACGAAGCAAAACAGAACAGGAAATGAATATGGCATGAAATCAATTGATTGAGGAAACCTAAAAGAGTAACTGAAAGTACCTGGGTAAGCTAAAGTTTTTTTTTTTAATCGAGACGTTCGAAGAGGAGATTATTTCATACGAAACAGCACCTATCAATAAAATAAACAATACGTAAACACAGGTAAATAATATCTAGAATGAAAACTAAGTGACAATTGTTGTGTCCTACCATTTTGATTGGCCTTTTGAAAGCTGTCTGTAGCCCATGTGCTGATGACTAAAGGAGTAGAACAGTAGCAACCAGTAAATAATAAATAGACGAAACTTATGATGAGCAGCATGACCCACAGGGTCTGAGTTCAAGCTCTACTGGAGCCACCGGTACCAGGGATAATGCCCCGTGACCTTGAACTAGCGACCTGATTGATCAGTCAGTTTGTGTTGTAATGGAAGACACTGGGGCTTTGGCACTAGTCCAATGAAAAAATCTGATTGATGTAAAGCTGATTCGATGTAAAGTTGAGACATAGCTCCTCATGAATTTTTTTCACAGAGTAATGTAACTGCCAATCGATCTTATCTATATGTAAATCTCGGGGAAAATGTAGTCGTGAGAGGCCAGTTCACTGCCCACTGCGTCTCTAACACTAAGGCTAGAGCGCAGAGAAAGATGGGCATGAGCTTTGAGGATTCTGATTAAGGGCGACGGAGTTCATCGTCTGAATCCAAGGAGAGGAATAGCCTGGAAAGGGGAACGGGTGCCGTGCCGACTGACTAGGTATGCACCTTCCGGGTGGAAATCAAAAGTGAAAGTTGGTCCCTATCATTGATACATTCATTTCAAAATATCCCAGAAGTGACCGCTCTCAACTTTACCTAGATCTGATGGGGGGGGTGGGTGGTATTCAAGGAGCAGTCTGGGAATCAAGCTGTGATTTTCCCACAAATACCGCCCACTATGGACGCATGGTTTCCCTTTTTGGTTTTTGTTTTTTTTTTCATGGTTTTTTCCATAAATACCGCCCACTATGGACACATCTGTTCACATCTCGGAAATGGTGGATTTCTTAATGGTCTTCGAGTCGTATTAAGGAGGATTCGTGGCCTTCCAAGACCGACTTGCCCTCCAAAGGGGGCATGAAGAGAAGAACTCTTCAGTATAATCTTAAAATGGAAAAGGTGAAAGTTGACCCATCCATCTTCTCCTCGCCTTGCCCCTCCCCTTTCCTTATTTCAGACTCACCATTTCTTAACCTTACTTCCGAAAAAGAACACGCAAATATAACCGTGTTTATTTATTATTTTTGTTTATGTAGCATGTTTATTTCCTTCACCTAGCCGGTGCAATGTGTTGATGTGCTGAACCTACTGATATATCGATGTGCAAGTATTTGGATTGGAAGGACTTGAATCTTACCTAGCTGTAAACAACATATATTTATTCAACAAAGTGTTGGGAAAGGTGGCAGAGGAGGTAAGTGGGAGGAGCCTAATTCCTGCAAGACCATGTTTGACTTTGTATACAGGGTCTTTATGGCAAAGACTGGACTTTTTGGACTTAGGGCATTATATCAATATGTAGGTCAATCAAAGCCAGCTCCAGGCCACTTTGTTTTCCTGAAGCTGTTTGCTCTTGCTGAGTAAATTGGTAGCGCATCCAAAGGGTGAACTTTGTGGTACGAGACCCATTGATAGTATGACATCCATGGCAATTCCCAGACTCGTGGGAAGTGCCTATGCCAATGAATCGTGAATACACTTGCTTTATTGATTTCTTTTGGTGGTATTTACAGGGACTATGGATCCGTGAAAACTAGCCGTGTAAGCTTTTATTATTCACGAAGTTATAACTTATGTTTTGGTCTATCCAACGACCTCAGCAGCTCAAATCATGCCTACATTAAAGTTAGTTTTACTCGTAAAACACACTTGTACACAGATTATTCAGTTTAGTATATGTTAGAGCGAAGTTCATTCCATGGATGAAAACATCTTTCGAACGAAGCCGAGGTAGGAGTTGAGCTGTCAATATCCCTCATCAGAGAAAGTAATATCATAGTCGGGATATTGCTTTTTGAGAATATCCACAGTCTTAGAGTGATCGGCTTTACCGTAACCCTGAACGAATTTTGTTATGAACGGTAAACCTACGGTCCATTTTGGGGAAAAAATCGCATGTACCTGAGAGTATCCATAAACGAGGATTTCCTTGTCTTCATGTTTGATTCGGCCGCCACCAACACAATTTAACTTGTAGGACGGTCCCACAGCCGACTCGGTAACATCAAAGATATCAGAGTGGAAATTACATTTGTAATATCCACGCACAATGTGTTTCTTCTCATTAGACGATTTGTCAGTACACTGAAAATAAACAAATAAACAATAATTGGTTCCACTCTCAAGTTTCAGTCATATTTCTAAGATATTTTGCCCCATTTTCTTTCTGAAACCTCCCAGTGCACGGAGGTGGAAATGAGGAGAGGCAAAACACCGAACTGGCGACCAAAAGGGGCTTAGGTGACACGGAAACAACAGGAACACCGGATTCCTACAACCACGGCAATCTCCAGAACCAATTCTTATCCGTTTTCCTCCAGAACATTCAGGGGGGCTTTTTCCTACCCCCCCCCCCCCCCCCCCCCAAACACCTAACTCAAAACAAACCAGTTAATTTCGAACAACATTTCGATTACTTCCAAAAGCTAATTTATAATGACGTTGTATGGGTGAGAGAGCCCAGACGGGAGTAGGAACTCCATGCCGTACTCCCAATAGGAAACCAGTCACGTATGAGATGCCTGGAAAGATTCATAAAACCGACAAAAGATGATGGAGGCAGCTTAGCTGGTGGATCAGTCGTTCTACCCAAGTACTGTGCACCACTTGGCCAAGATGTCGACCAGCCCCCGTACTATTGTAACCTCGACTTGGTTGGTATGGGGATGTGAAGGTCATGATGGGGTATGAGTCGAATCTTTTTTTTTTTTGTTTTTAATTTATTGAGGTATGACAAATACAATGATTACCTCGATCAAAATGTATTTGAATGTCCCGGATGGATCAATGTCAACGTCTTTCACGTCTGCCAAAGGCATGATGTTTTACCTGAATCCAGATATTACGATGTTTACCTGAACTGAGGTTCTGTTCTAAATAATCCCTAATCCCAAATGAATCTGCTCTCTGTATAACATCCAGCACAGAGGAAATGAGATGTCAATGTAAGAATGGCTCAGTTTAGTTTTGATTTGAAATATTAATGGAAAAGCAAAACTGGAATTAAGTTTAGAGCGCCAATATTAACGGCACAAGTAAATAACTCCCGACAAATAAAAGGCAGACGACGGATAACGTGTTGAGCATGCATTCACAGAAATCAGTGCAGCTACCGTAAACTTGCCCTCATAAATTTTGTCAAGGGGCAATAGGCAGCCAGACAGGTAGCTCAAGAAGCGTTTTTTGCTCCTTTACAGCGTTCCCGAGCTTTCATAACGTTGACCTCGTCTGTTCAGCAGTTCCTACAATTTTTGGATTTCCTACCTCAGAGGCTCTCATGTGGGAAGTATGTCCAGTTGCTAAAGCGATTACTTGATTGCAGATTACGAAGACTTTGCTTTTCCTGTGTCATACTGGGTAAAGTAATCTCGTGGGGTCGAAGAAAGCTTGATGGCATGATATCAAGACCTGAGAAACGATTGATGACAGTAGCGCTCAAAAGTATTCGGCCAAATGCTTCTTCACTCGTACTTTTCAGCCATAACTCCTTTGTTGCTGGATCTAATCAAGCGAAATTTCAATATGTGTAGCATTGATGTAGTGTGAATATTTACCACTATTACCCTGCAATCTGGTCATGTTCCAAATATCCAAAAGGGCTTGAACAAAAAATCAACTGGAATACGAATGATGGTCCTTCTGGGAGTCCTTTCCTTTTTACTATATCTTGAGGGTACGAGCGCTAATGCCGAACCAAGAAGAGAAGGAAAACGTACATAAGGTCCGAATAACTGCAGACGTCACAGTTTTGCTTTCAGCACAGTCTACAAATGCCTCCCCATTAGTATGTGGGTATGGTTGTTTTGCAGTCAAGTAGTGTTGGACAGTGTAAAATATGCTTCAGCTAAACATATCAAAATTTCACGTGACTCGCTAAACTGGGAAAAAAGCAATGGCAAGTTAAAGTTGGCCGAATACTTTTGAGCACTACTGTAACTCATCTGAGATATTCGTACATCACACTGGGTAGACCGTGACACTATTGTAGGTGCTACAATGGCACCCTGCTGTCATCTTGTTGACGAACAAGCTATCGGGCAGGAAGCGGACTCAGTTCTTTCTCTATGTTTTGTGAGCTTCGAAACGATTTTCGAATTGTTCAAAACCTTTAAAGCTATGAACAATACACAATTTGACACTGCTCCATCACGCCCTTTAATTCGTTTAATTCGTAAAATTTTATGCATAGTATTCTACGGTAATGGATACATCTATACACACGAACAATGGCATCAACTATGGGACATAACCGGAAACGATATTCAAATCACAATAAATAAATAAAAAAAACTAAGGTGCTACTCTGCCACGTAAACTAAGTTTTCGCCGGGTCTAGAACTGCTGCTGTAAATTGCGAGTTCGTCAACTTGCTCAGCCTTAACGAGCCAAATTAGGTTTCCTAAGCCTATTTAAAACTAGTGCTCAAATCGGTATTACCAACAGTAATGTAGTCGATGATAGAATTTTGAAGTCTGGTAATGAACATTATACGAAACACTGACAGTTAATCGAGATACCTTGCAGGGATATATACGTGAGCTTAAAGTAATTAGCAGGTATCAAAGAGATCGAGCCTTGCCCTCAGTAACCTTCATTAGAGAAAGTAATGTTGTAATCAGGATATCGCCTCTTGAGTATATCGACTGTTACCGAATGGTCCGCTCGCCCGAAACCCTGAAATAGGAGTAAATATAAAAAATAGAACAAGGCCTGAAAGGAGAAGGGAAACTGTATTAGAGGAAGACGATTTGTGCTTCATCCCTAGCACTGTTGGCGTAAGACCATTTCGGCCATTTTTCTAGGTGGTAATGAGACTTGTACCGCCATTGTCGAAAACGAAGAACAAATGTTCGAAACCCTTCAGTCAAGTCAGAGGGGAACGCTTCCCGACCACCCAGTTGTGGCTGCCACTTCGCAACCGTTGCTGCCACTTATGTAATTATTAAATCATCGCACGAGACAAATGAAGAGCTGCTAGCGCTATGCATAACAAAGCATTACCAGAACAACAAAAATATGGAAAAATATAATAGTCTATCACTGAAAAGCGCATGGAAAGTAAATTATTACGTGAGAATATCCATAAACAAGAATCTCTTTCGCGTCGTCGTCATGTCGTATCCTTCCACCTCCAACACAGCTAAGTTTGTACGAAGGTCCTGCATCTTCTCGAGCAGCTCTAAGAATATCGACATGGAAATGGCATTTGTAATATCCGCGCACTATTTTCTTTGTCTCGTTGGATGATTTATCGGTGCACTGAAAAAGTTATTGCATTTTACGACCGCAACCGATCTTTTGTTGTTGTTTGGACGAATTCTAAGGTATGAGAGGGACAGGAAGTTCTTCACAAAAATCGGGGGTCTCATCACACACTGCACGGACCGCCTGTTCCATTCATTTTCAAAGCTCCGGGAGATGCCAAGTTCCAGCGTTTTTACAATCCCTGTGAACATAGAAAGTTAGTTTCTCCCGTGTTGCACATAAGAGCGCAAATTACACAGCTATGTGCGTCGCTTGCCACAAAAAGTAGCATCCGAGATCTCTTCACCTGACATCCATTACTCTGTTGGTTCCGGTCTCATGAATTATGACGTGAAATAATGACTCAAAATTTTCCTCTGCTCCAGCGGTTGGGCGCATTCATAGTCGGCGCCGTTCGTTATTCGATAAGTTTGAAAATAGTACTATCAAGTGAGAGACACCCAGACGGCTACAAACGGCAACAGGTCCATACGAAAGATGCAGTCATTCTTTTTTTTTTCAAGAGAACAATTTTTCTTCGTGATCAAACCTTTTTGGAAAAGCTTCTTAGCTTCAATCTTGCAATCGCAAAACAATATTTTTATTGAAATATTCCCTTTCGATAGCAGCCTACACCACGTAGACGTTAGGACGTCGTTACTATGAATGCGATTTCAAAAATTGATTCATACTTCCGTATGGCAAGAAGCCGATTGGTAACCGAAGAAAACAACCAGAATCAACGTTCTCTCATGCACTTATGTTGAAAAAGTGTAGTTTGTTTGAGAACCCTATCCATCCGTGTGCTGTGATCGTGATGATGATTCTGGTCTGGCAATTATATCTAACAAGTTCCGGAACGTAAACAAAACAGCAACCATTAAACAGTCACCTTGATCAAAATATATTTGAAAGTTCCTGATGGATCAATATCGACATCTGGAATATCCGATAATGGCATAGTGTGAGACCTGAAGTAGAAGAGTTTAAGCAGTGTTACGGGCTGAAGAACCGAGGATCTGTGAAAATGCACAACTAGAGGGCCTTCGATCATTTCTCACAATTCTACGAACCACGAGTACCCGATCCTAAAGTTCTGTATAAAACACTGTTGGACTGGGTAGTCAGAAATACTATAACGCACCATACACCATGACTAAGTCAGTCACAAACCATTACCTTTTTGAGAAACCAAGGAATTTAAGCATTATACGATGAGGGCAGCAAAAAATCTAGCGGTTAATCCAGCTAGGACAGTAGTAAATGAAAATTCGAAGGTATGCCAAGTTTATTATCGAATAACTGCCTATGATATGCATGATATCATGAACTTGAGAGCCCCTGGAGGATAGCCGTGTGCCATCCTAATACCTCATTTTTTACCCATGCACGGTTATCGACCGATTTGTACCCGTTTCGCAGCACTCCTTGTACGAAAAAGTCGTACACTGTCGCCAAAACGGCGTTTACCAATTTGGGAGTGACAGACGGCGTACAGATGGTCTCGTGCTCCTTTACGGAGGCTCAAATGAGCGGCATAGCAACAGCCTCGCCGCTTTCGAAGATCGTCTCAGTTAATAAATGCTCTCCGCTACGTACCCGTTTGAATGTTGCGCGAGAAGCGCATTTATAGTTAGCGAAGTATAAACGTGCATGACAAAAAAGGAGAACGATTTGTTTTGTGGCCCTTTCATATGAATTGGAGGAACAAAGGCTACCCCACTTAACAAGGTCTGCAGTGCTACGTTATTTGCATGAATTATATCCGAATTGAGCAAGCCTCACAATCCGAGCAAGCAACAGTATATATCCATGCTACAATTTAATAGGAACGAAAATTCAGGCCGGGAACGTATTTACAACAGCAACCTTGTGATGGGAATAAAATGCAATGTACTTACATGCACAATATATTTCATTCCACGGCATATTGTATGCGAATACACAATCCTCCACCCGTTACATATACGACGCATCGAAAAGGAACCGTAGGCAAGGAGATGGAGAAGGTAGTCGAATGAGAGGCTGTGTCGGACCACGACCATTATTGGTTTGTACCAGAACTCCCACTAGTAGGTGGTAGGTGTGTAGGAGCAGGGTACAGTGAATGTAGACAACTGGTATAAACCACTTGGTAATGTTCAAATACGTGCGAATCCGCTGTACAATGAACGCAGGTTCGATTATGAGATTACGTAAACAAAACAAAAGGATCTTGCACCGAACAGAGGTATTCGGGAAGTCTCCTTTTATATAGGTGTTATTGACCAGGAGGACACCATAAAACCCTCGAATGTTGAAACTTCATGCTCTCCCACAGTCGATGCTTATCATCTGTGGACCTCATCTGATTATGCCGAACGACCAAAGCTGTGAAGAAACCCTACTAATTAGACTTAATCTTAGTGAGGGCTCATCAACTCTCTTCTATTTAAATGTAAATTTCCCCAGGGGCAACAGTTGCACAGAATTGATCATTATGTAAACAAAGTAGGACCAATAAACTACCCTGCATTGGTTGCGGCGACTGCCTTATTTGGAGAACCAAAGATTTTCAACAGAGTTGCTGACGTTCTGAAGCAAGTTCTTAGCGTAAACATTCAGGAAAGCCTACAAAACGAACGACAAAGAATAACGCTGCAGCAAAATTTTTCCAACGTCACGCCAACATACGATATGGTCACCTTCGTATAAACGTCCTTTGTTAATGTTGAAAATAGTGACACTATTTGAATGACATTGAAAATTCATTCGCGACTTTTTTCTTTCTGACTGGAGCTCCGTTCTGATTACTTACTTTGGAGTATACTGCTTATTGATTCTAAAGCTCTCATTCGAAATTTTCGTCATAGGATCTCATTTTGTGGTCATAGTCGTCTTTTTATTTCGGAATTGCAATGGATTTTCAAATGAAAGATACCAAAATTTAGAGGTATTGAAATTTTGCTGTCATTGTTTGATGAGGATTGGAGAAGCTGTTTCTGAGTGATTGCTGACCAGATCTGCCCGCCATGACGGCCCTCACTCTGGAGACGGTGATGCGTCGATTTGCCGACGTAAGCTTCCGCTTTGTTTTGGAATTTTGCAGCACTTATTACCTAACGATAGTTGGTTTTGCTTTATTAATGGCTCTTCTGCATTCGCATCTCGAATGCTAGTTCAGAAGAGCTGAATTCCAGCCTTATATGAGAAATTGAACAGTGCGGGAAGTGAACCCCCGTGCCTTTTCTTTATGAAGTGTGCAGTATGGAGCTCGTACGAGACTAAACCTTTTATCCAAAAAGCAACACTCCTGAGGCTTTTCGCAGGTGCACAGTGTTTCGCAAGAAGCTATCGAGACGATTTCTTTATGGGTAATGCACTATAGGGACAAAAGGTCGATTGACATTATTGTGGAAGCCTGGCTCGAAAGTTTCAAGATAGGTAAGTTTTTTATGTATTCTAAACTATTCAAGCGATCGGTAATAAAGGGAGAGTGGCGATAATTTGAAGGTGCTGGTAATGTTGCTCATTCATGGCATGGTAATGTTGCTCATTCATGGCGACGATCTAGCTTTACTCAGAGTCAAAGGAAGTGACTCCAGACGTCCATCCTCGACCAGTGAAACATCAGAGCCAGCTGATAATCAAGTCAAATTACTCGTCCCTAGATTCGCTAAATTTTGAAGTTTTCGTTGCGTGGGAATGAACGAAGTTTCGCTTAGGTGATTAATGCTCTTTAAGATGCATCAAGCAAGTCCGTCTGTCATTTATCTGGCTTAGATCGGTTGAAGCCCAATAAGTCAATTCTAGGGGGTTTATTACTCAAGTTATCTAAACCTTAAGCATACGTTATGCCCTATTTGCAAGAGAGGTTTAAATGAGTACATACTGTGATCCGTTTTGCAATTGCAATTCAGCTCGATTTATTTCCAGCCAAAAAAGATGAACAACGCATCGCATTGTTTTACATAATGAACGATGTTGTTCAACGAGCTAAAATGAAGCATATGGATGTGCTTATTCCTACTTTCCAACCTGCCGTGCTCAGTGCTGTAACAATGGGAAAGTAAGCGCCATTCAACAGTATCAGAGCGGTGTATCTCTTCAGACTCCTTCAAGTGTTATTGTGTTTCAGGGGTTCACCAAGTGTTAAGCATGTGATGCAACGATGTATAGACATATTTGGAGAAAGGCAAGTGTTCACGGAAGCGAGTGTAAACGTAATGAAAAACATGCTGCGTAAGTTTGTTTTTTCTGTTGATAATAAATACTCCTTGAATACACTTTTACGGAAGGTTTTTTGAAGAGTCCGAAGAAAATGGAGAAGGAGACGAAAGTTATGTTGAGCTGGATTCTGAAGAAGTGTACAGAAAGATAGAACTCTTCGAACGGGTAAGATCACTCAAAAGATTGAGCATCTTCTCCTGCATTTCTTTTCTCTACAGGGACGATTGATAGTGACTCGTGGAATGGAGGTACTTCGAAATGGAGATTTCGACTGTAAGGCACTCATGAAGGACCGCATGAGAGGTAGCCATTTATTTCTATCACTTCATACAGCATCAATGGTCCTCTTTTACCTTGCTGCTGTGAACTCAAGACTCTTATTTTAGATCGCACTGTAGCAGCACAGCTAGTTATGGAAACACAGCAGGTAAAAACATATGAATATGTTTTCGGTTCATGGATAACTCTTTAATCATACACTTCGAATTTTATTGCAGCCCTTGTTGTGAGGCCCCAGTCTGTACAATTTTTGAGGCTCACTCCTAGTTGCCCTCCATCACTTTCACTTCTCTCTCCTTGCTCTGCTTTTCTGCTCCAACTTGATTATTTTTTGAGCTCATATCTCCTGCTAATGTGATTAAATTATAACTTTACTTCCTTATCATACGGGCACACGATGTGTGTCCTTTCTATTAATGATCCCGTGTTCTCGGACAAATCTATCGCTTCTCTAGATACTTCCTTTTTATAACCATATACCCGCCTTTGAGAGATAGATAGATAGATAGATACTCCTAATTGGAGCATAGAGAAATGTTAGGACCTTCGAGGCTTGTGAGCAGTCCGAAACAGTGTTTATTTGGAGGTGGAAAAAAGGGTTGTCCTCCAGGTCCCGATAGATTAGGAGAGAAGAGGCGCAAACGCCGTTTCCTGAATCTCGTCCCCGTCTTTATTTTGCTAATGGGAAAATCCACTCTGAACTGGATTCAAGAGAATAGCTTTTGTTTTCAGGTGCTCAGCCAGATAACATCCTTCAGACACTCTATGGAAGAGCAGAAGAGAAAAATGCTGCAACTTATCGAGACCTTAGAGCTGGCGAAACGGAACTTCTCGCATCAACTCAAAGATGTTACAGTTGTTGAAGACGTAAGTATCATATATGTATTTCATTTATATTTAATCACTCCTATGTTCATTGTCCTTATATTGTGTTCGGGCTAAGCGTAATAGCAGCTCAAGGCAACTTTAAAACTATTCGTTCTAGGCTTATCAGAAGTATTTCCAAGGAATTCGTGAAGTTCATGCTGATTTACTGGTAAGATTCATCATACTCTTTATTTGTTATGCCGGTCTTACTCTTTCATTTATTGGGTTAAAGTACATTTTCGCAAGTTGGAGATTTCCTGCAAAAGCATTCTCTTAAGGAAATGGAAAAGTCAGGGATATATCCTGCAGCCACTCCTCCTCGAGATGCTCCATCGCCTACAGCTAATGACGACATTTATGCTACTGGAGTAGAAAATGCGTTACAATGTTTGTCGTGCTATATATAATTCCAATTTGGCTCTGAATATTGCCCATCATCGTTCCTCTTTTCTTGCAGCTTTTCGTATGCCTGGTACCAGAGACAATATGGAGGCGACTGATATGGATTTGGATGATGATTCCGCTCCGATTGATGTAGGTGGCACGTCTCCTCTATCGAGTACCCTTCCTCCTCCTCCCGCTCCTCCTGCAATGCTTGATGGACGGCCATCCACCTATCTGGGGTCAACTGCTCCCCAACAACCAATATTGCCGATATCTCAACCGAACTCAAATGGTAGCACAGGTTGGTTTTGTGATTTTGTACGCTGTAGTTATGTCAATGATTGTGTTATAACTCTTACTGATTGGTTTTTATTTGTAAGAGCGGTCTCTTGCAGTGTCTCCATATCTCAACAATTCGAGCGCCATGCCATCATCGTTCCAAGCCCAATCTGCCTACGGAGTATCTCAAAATCAGTCTCAGCCTGCTTTCGTTTCGCAGACTAACACGGCCGTGGCACCTCCAGCTACTGGTCAACCGTCTAACTTTGCAGGGCAAAATCTCTCAGTACCTCCTCCAATCATCACTCAGCCACCACCAAATATTCAGGTTGGTGATAGTTTGTGAATCCATCGCTGGGACGTAAACGCACTATTTTCAGGCGTTACTGAAATCCATACCAAGCCTCCAAACTATACAACAGGCTACAGCAGCAGCTGCTGCTGCCGCTGCCGCGAACCAGCGTCAGCCTCAGAACATTCCATCAGTGAGGAATATGCTCTACTTTCATCTGACAACCTCTTGATTGTTCCTTGTTTCAGATGAACTACCCTCCTCCCAGTGCTCAACAAAGATTCGGAGATGTGGATGAGCGAATTCAACCGGTGCAACCAATGCAACCTGTCCAACCATTGCACCAACCCGTGCAACCTGTCCAGCCACTGCATCAGCCCGTGCAACCTGTCCAACCATTGCACCAGCCCGTGCAACCTGTCCAACCATTGCACCAGCCCGTGCAACCAGTGCAGTCATTGCAACCTTCACAGCCAATTATTTCTCAGCCTCTTCCTGGCTCGGCTTCAAACTATCACATGCCTCCCCCAAGGTCTCAACAGCCGATGTATGCAGAAGAAGGACCATCACACATGGATTACCAAGCTTCCGTCTCCGTCGGTGACCAAGGTAAGGGTTGACGCTTTATCTGATTCTTTAAGCTCTAGTCTTAACTTTTAGAACACCTTAATGGTGACAATAATTACTACGGTGATGGTGGACGTGATGGTTTCTACCAAAAGCCACCACCAACACAGCAATTTCATAATAGCGGAAATTACCCGCCACCCGGTAGGGGAAGGCCTCGTGGTGGTGGCGGTGGTGGTGGTTTCTACGGTCATGGCGGAGGCAGAGGCGACCAGTGGAGGAAATCGTGAGTTTCTTGTTTTGATCAGGAATCGTGCTCACAGATTCATTCACCTCAAGCTTGCAGAACGAATCATTTCCATGGGTTCTGCATTGACGGGACATCCTAATCGTAGTATTGCGGCGTTGATTTTTAATCAGATTGTGCTTTTTTCATGGAGCTAATGTAGACGTCTCAATGGGGCCTTTCCATCTGCAGTTCACTCCATGACTGAAGTTTGAATTGTAGTAAAACAGAAATAGTGCTAGCTGTGAAGCTCACCCCTGTTCTCTTTGAATATCGACAGGTCGTTTTGTAGTAGGCAACACAGCTTGTAATGAACAGTTACACCTGTTGCAACTGCACTTACCTCGTGATAGCTCAAGAAAATACTTGCGTGCGTGAACGCTGTAAACACACTGAGATTTTACCGTCATTTCAAAAAAATTTATCTTCGATAAGAGTCTTTGAGGTACTAAAGCCATGGAGTTCGTTGATTCATGGTCAAACTCGCATAACAGAAGTAAAATATCCTGTTTACTACCTGATCAGCTGATGAGAGAAGCTGGTTTCGTCATATTTAGGCTCATTCTTGCAATCAAGCCCTTTTGTTCATTTTTGTAAAAATGCACCTATCCCTTCCATATAGGGATTGGCTTTTGTTTATGTCCGGCTTACTTTAACGATTTCACAAATCTGTTTAGCGGCGACTATCGAGGTGGACGCGGTTTCGGTGGGCCACGAGGGAATTTTCATAATCGAGGAAGAGGAGGAGGTCCACATGGTGGAGGTGGATTTCAAGGAGGCGGTTTCCATAGAGGGCGTGGGCGAGGCAACTGGGGCCGTGATGATTTCTGACCGAAATAGGATAGAATTTTTTTGATCGGGTCCTTATTCCTTGTATACGCTTGTATTCCGCTTAGTGTAACATTTACTATAACTTATTGTTTTTGTTTTCTCCGGAACAGTGTTTTCTATTGTTATTCGGCACAGCTGTTATTCTTGTCCGAAGGTCTACTTCCAAGCTCTCATGGTCAAATAATTTGTTATCGATTGAAATTTGTTTTGTTTTCTCTTTTTTTGCCACATTTGAGAGGAATTCATTCTCTGGTCGTAGAACAATTGCATTTTCTTAAAATGTAGCTTCTAGTTCATCTACTACATATTGAACTAATGAAGTTATCTGTAATTATATTACGATATTGAGAACAATTTGTTTGGGATTCAGGGATTACCTTTATTGTTTTTTTTTCTCGCTAATATCGTCTATTTGTTATATGTCTATTGTTAGCTAGGAATGGTCCCAAAAATTAACGAGGATTTGGAAAACACACAACAGGAGGAAGTCCATGTTGATATCGGCAACGGCGGAGCAGAGGGACGAGAAACGGATGATGTTTTCCGCATTCCAAAAACGTCGACACTTGGTCCTGCCATCAGGAATACTCCTGAGCAGGTACATACCATCACCTTTTTTTTATCTCGAATTAGACGCCTTATGGTTTTCTACACTATTTATGTTCATTTCGTGCAAAGATCGTGCTTGCAGCGGTGATGCCTTAGACCATTTAATTGACCCCGCGTAAGCCACTGCTAGAAAGACTACGACAAGTTTAGGTTCCTCACTAGTCTTTGACTGTATTTTTGATCTATGAAAACCGGTTTGGAGATGATAAAGCTCCAAATTGATTGATATCTTCTCTTCTCAAAGAGTAATGTAATAGGAACATCTAATTCTGTAGAACGTTCACCTTTGAGAATGATTCCCTGTTCAGAGTACAATATTAGTTTCAGATCGCAGCAAAGCGTGCTTTTTGGCGGAATTATCTAGCTGGCAAGGAAAACGTGAAGGTTGTTGCACCGATGGTTGATCAGAGGTTTTTGGTATTTTGTTAAGTATTTGTTTTTGGAATTTGCCGAATTATGTAATTTCACTTAAGTGAGCTGGCGTTCCGTATGTTCATGCGGAAACATGGTGCACACATCACAGTTACACCAATGATCCATGCTCATTTATTCGTCAATGACCCCACTTATCGGCGAAATTCGTTGGCTTTGTGTGAAGCTGATCGTCCTCTCATTGTGCAGGTCAGTGACTCGCAATGTTTTCCAGTGTGTAGGGAACGCTTGGGATCAAGTTTTATTTTTTTTCTGTTAAATATTACCATCAATTGTGTTTTAGTTCTGTGCTAACAAACCTGAGACATTCCTTGCCGCTTGCCGTTTAGTCGAAGGTGTTTGTGATGGAGTAGACCTCAATTTGGGATGTCCACAGATGGTAGCTAAAAAAGGGAGATACGGTGCATACTTGCAGGTATGTGCTCAGAGCGCCTCGAAAAAGCTTTTATTTTAATCCATTGGCGGCCGCGTGGCCCGCCGACGGGCCACCCCATATCGTGCTCCTGTGGTGTTTATATTATTTATCGAGTGTTCTTATAATTTTTCATGTTCATGTGGGTAATGTAGTTCAGGAATCATTCATTTCCAACGACAGTTATCAGAGAAATTAAAAGTTAATGTAAGGACAGTATAAAAGGCACAGTCGTCAATGGGTTTATACTCTTGACCTTTTCCCAGCTGTTTAGTGAAAGTTAGACGAACTCGAAAGACTCTTCTGTCTGTTTTTTTTTTTTAATTTGGAAGTGAATCTAAGCCGATTTTCTGAAGGAATTTCTAGAACTTGCATGTTTGACATAACATTTTTTTAAGGATGAAGTGGATTTAATCTGTTCTATGGTAGCCGCTGTGAGAGATTTTTGCGCGGTGCCCGTTTCCTGCAAAATCCGCATTCGGGACTGTCCTCAGGAAACCATCCAGTACGCTCGAAGATTAGTAGATGCTGGTGCTACTATGTAAGTAGAGACTGATCATACATCGGCCCCTGTATTGTCTAATTGTAAGTCGTTCTTTTTAAGGTTGACTGTCCATGGCCGCACTCGTGAAATGAAGGGGGCCGACACAGGTTTGGCTGATTGGTCTCGTATACGAGAGGTGGTCGAGGCTGTGGATGTTCCTGTGGTAGCCAATGGAAATATTCAGGTGTTGCCTTTTTTTCTGCATTTTTTTTCAAAGTGATAGATACACAGAGTGTTTTTTGGTATACAGGTCATAGAGTGTTTTGCTTTTAGAAAGAACGACTTTTAGATGCCTGGTGATGTTGAAAGATGCCTTGCCGCGACAAGAGCAGCTGCAGTGATGTCAGCCGAGGGCTTGCTATATAATCCTCTGCTCTTTGCTGTATGTTCCACTCTATTACCTTTTTGATTGACACTGTGTTGAAGTTAGCTTTTGTTGCATTAGCCTCTTGCAACATTTTTCTAAGTCTCTAGATAGTTTTTAGAAAAGGTGAGGAGTTTTTTACAGCTTTTAGTTACGAGCACGCTCCCTCCATTTGGGGCGAAATTTCGCTCATTCTAGGCGTACTGCTCGCAGCTTGATCCCTGCCCAATTTACCATTTTTAGCTTATGGACTCTTAAAAATTTACTTACTCATCCATTAGGAAGACCTTTCACTGGAATTCAGCCTGCCGCGCCCCATTCGTCAATCCACTGCTAACCTCCGTCTATTTTTGTGGTATATGGGCTATATTCAAGTAGAAGCTTTCCCATTTTTGGTAGATGGTATTTGCTGTTAGCCCATGTGTTTGGGTCAGCTTGCATCCTGCACTGTCCTTCTAGAGCTTGGTTCGACAATGTCGGGTGCCTGGTATAACCGGATTCGTATCAGACAGACAGTGTTTTGTATATAGTAATGTTCGCTGTTTAATTACCATGCTCCAAACCGTCTGCTTTTTATCGCTTGGTAAAACCCTGAGTACATATTTATATAAAACTTTTTAGTAGCCACGAAGATGCACTGGGAGGTTTAAGTACCATTTTTCCCAAAATGTAAACACCTTCGCATTGGCAACTCACAAAGGCGGATTTCAATAGTGCTGTATATGTTTTTTTTAGAATAAGATCGAAGAAAGCTGGGTTGTAGCGAAAGAATATCTCGAATTTGCACGCAGGTATCAGGCTGGTACAAGTGCTATTCGCGCTCACATCTTCAGGATCTGTCATCATAGGTTGGGTTCAAATCTCATTTTGTGTGGAAACCTTCTACCACCTAAATATTTTCTATACAGTCTTTTGGAATTTGCTGATTTGCGAATGCGGGTGTCCACAGAACATCGTTTGGAGGATTATGAATCGATTGTTGAGGAGATTCGCTTACGAACGCGAGCTATTGCTGACAATGAAGACTCTCGTCAGCGAGTAGCGTTGGCAAAAGAGCTATTCGAAAGAATCCGGTGAGCGATTCTTGATTAATTTATTATGCTATCATCGGTGGTGGTTGGAAAAACAAGGTTGCCTTCAGGATTGGCGCTGAGAAAATGGATCCTATCGAAGTTTCTCGAACACCGCACTGGATTTGTAAACCGTATTTCCGCCTGTCAGAGGTGTGTTAGATACCACCGCGTCATCGCAACTCTCTCTTACTTCTCAAATGATTAAGGTAGCTCGAGAGACCATTGTTGGTGAAGGGGAAAAGACATACAAAGAGAGGAGAAAAGAGCAACTTCAAAAGATTGCCGATGAAATGGGATTATCCTTGAAGTGAGTTACCCTTCACCCTTGTTTTATGAGAGTTTTCGATTCCTTTTTGTAGGCAAGCACGCAAGAGGGAGCGTAGGAAATTGAACGGTCAGAGGACGATAATATCCAAACGAGTAAGTAACACTTCTTATCCTGTCTAAGCTTCTCTGTTGTTTCTATCTATAAATGGTGAATCTACAGATGAAGTTTCCTCCATGTACACGCTGCACTCAGCCAGCAGGACAAGGCTGTGCGTATGTGTTCTGTAAAAAGTGCTGCCGTTGGACGTGTAAGCAGAAAGGCTGGGATTGCAACGGTTAGTGCTTTTCCTATGAAAACCTTCGATTAATGTGCGAAAAATATGGTAGTTAAAATTTTTGTCACCCTTGTGGCTCTTATTGAGTTGGTATTTTGTTGCAGCTCATCGGTATAAGTATTCTCATGTTGCTGCGGAACAAAACAACAAAAATGATTATATACTTGGCACCGCGGAGAGCTGAATAAAAGGCTTTCGGATGGTTTATTTCCTTTTAGTAGAACTTCATAACATCAACCACCTAAGTTAGTCTCGCAGTCGTATCTCGTATATACGTGAAACACCTCTTAAGGGTTTCGGAAATGGAAGTTTTAGTGAATTTTTCTTTTTTTTTTTTATTTGTTTTCCGTGGTTGTCTACATTTCTGACTACGTTTTAATCTCCATTTCCTCGTTTTTGTATCCTAACCCATTCTTTACCTCGTTCTCAGCATACCGTTACCACTACGGTAAGTGGCTCCTCGTTTTCCGTATCGTTACCCAAAACTCAGGGATTTGCCTTTGGTATATAACTTTTGAATCGTTCTCTGAGGCGATAATCAGGTTATTTTTAAGTCAACCTTGCTGTCAGTGAAACCCCGTAAGTTTATGCGTGTATGATTACCTTGAGTATTTTTCATCATGACCGAGTACATCACACTCATCGTTTTTGTTGTTACCACTAGCTCCTTATCGTTTGAGAAAGTCTTGTTTTATTCATAGAGAAGTCACTGTTTTCATTGTTTTAATTCGATGATTCAGTATCATACGTTGAAATATCTAAGAGATCTATTCATTGTTATTGTTCCTTGTCAGCAACGGGTAGCTCACTTTTATATAAATAAATATTTATTTTGGCTTGTCAGAGAATCTAGGAGAAACAAAAGTGTTTCATTCACTTGCTATTTCATTCATTTTCTGCGTGGTCACTATTTTAAATTATGGACTGGACCGTCACAACGTAATTTTATTTTAGGTATTGTTTACAATCTGCGGAAATGCAACGAACTTTGTAAGATATATTGATCTTTCTATTTTCCTTCTTTTTTTTATTAACAGTTGTTCAGAAATCCAACCTGTACTGGTACTTCGGTAATTGCTCTACAGTATGAAAAAGGTGTTGTAATTATGACAGATCGTGTCGTGTCTTATGGAAAAACTGCCCGGTACAAGGTAAGCCATTCCCTAATGTATCTATGCAGAAAACTTTTTTAGTTCCATATTTTCCGTTTTCACTTCACGCTTTTCTTCCCACGCATAAGCTAACAAATACTAATAGCTGCTTTTGTAGGTTTGAAACATGCCTTCTATGGGAACACCGCTTTACCCTACCATTTTTCTTCGGATTTTCGAATTTCTATTTTGATTCAGAATGTTTCTCGACAATATAAAGTCAACAACAATATGATTATTGCTTTTGGAGGCGATCACGCAGACTTCCAATGGCTTCAAAATGTCATTGAGAGACAAGTGGGCTATCGGAAATTACACATATTGTTTATTTTGGTGAACGTTTCTAGCATAAATATTTTGTAAAGGTCTTGGCGTGGAAAATGATTGGACAAGACCTCTCACCCAAGGCTCTCCATGGGTATCTAACAAGTCTGATGTATGCCAGGTGAGTTGCAGATTCCCTTAAAATTCTCTTTTGGAAATCGCATATGTTTACTGAATGTTCGATCGAAAGATTAGCTGCTCAAATAGAAAGATTTGTCTGTAGTCAAATATCGATCTATAAATATTAGCCGTCAATAAATATTCATTACAGTGGTCAATAAATATTCTTTTTGATGAATCTTCTTCAAAGTGGGAAACAATATCGATTCATTCTCATTTTAGACGTACTCGTATGAATCCTTTATGGAATACTCTGGTAGTCGCTGGTGTAGAAGATGAGGAGAAGAACAACAAGGAATCGAGTACTCCCTTCATTGGTGTAATCACCCAAAAGGTATACCTATTGACCGATGGCCATGTTGCCATTTGTCATAAATTCTCGTACTCAATAGAAATCTCACGGAATTCAGGGCGTAGCCTATCAGACTAAGCACGTTGCTACTGGCATTGCTGCTATGCTCCTAAATCAAGCCGTTGAAGATGAGTGGAAGAAAAAGGTTAAATTGAATCAATTGGTGTGCCGTTGGTCTCTTCCCGCATGTTTGCTTGCTTTTTGTTTTTGCTTTTTTGCTACTATGTTATGCTTCACTCCTTTTCCTTTGTTGGACACTGTTGTTTTCTACCTTTCATAAGAGAGATATTCCAGGGCGACAAACTTACACGGGCTGAAGCTGAGGCTTTAGTGCGCAAAGCTTTGGAGCTCACAATCTATCACGACTGCTGTGCAGATAATGACTTTGAAATCGGTGTAGTTGACGCTGAGGATGGGGTTACATTGGGCAAACAGGTATCATTACTATATCCACTATAAAGTGTCTTTGAGAGCTTTCTTATTCTTACCGTTTAGGAAACGATCATCGGAGACTGGAGCATTGCTGAAACCAACTGTCAATATGAATGAGAACCTCATGTTATTTATTAATTGTATCAGATATCTTAATTTCGACAGTTCTTCAAAGCCTTTTGACGGTGTTTAATAAAATGTTCAATATTGCTAACAATAAGTGGGTCCTGTGTGGAATCGTCGAACACATTAATTTTGCTAGCGATTTCGATCGATCCTTGGTGATTGATAGAAAAACATACTAATATATGTTGCAAGCTTCGTACATTTCTGCACTAATCATTCGTCGGATGCTAGGAGCACGTATAGCTGTTGTGAATTACAGTATCATACATTTCTATATGTGTTCCCTGCGCAGTTAGTGATGATCATGTCCTTAATTAAAAAGAAAAAAACTAGCCAGATACCAGTGAAGGGCGACTATTTGTCATTTTTTCTTGCTACATGGCTGCTGTATATCTATAATTGGGAGACCAGAGTGGGAGGACTTCCTGGAGTCAGGTTAGTGAGGCTATTCGTAATTTGAGTAGCATTAAACCAAAGACCGGCCCAGGCACCAATCCTATGTGGTTTGTAGGAAGGGGACGGAGTTCATGGCGTAATCTCACTTCAAACTCTGTTCTCGAGAGAAAAAAAGAAGTTCTGGATTCGAGAGTGTAGGGAGTTTATTCATCACCAGCACTACTCATGAAGGGAGTGTTTTACATACTGGGTAGTGTAGAACATGAAGAATCGACAATTTCTTAAATAGATATCCACACCCAGACATATAATGATGACCATTAGTCATTATTCCTCCCACTTGAGTGAGGTATACCCTGTCCGCACCAGAGATTCCCTGAACCCTGCCCTACGAAAGAAATCTGCGGTGATTTGTGTAGGCGGTCTCGCAACTAGGACTGGAGTAAGCAATGAATCCTGTGCTCACTGAGCTTACAACTGATTGTGAGTGGGTAAGGGGACAATAAACCAGGACTTTAGCACATAACTAACTTAGGTTTCCTATTAGGTTGTGTGAAAGGAATCTGCCAAAAATTTACAGCGGTCCTGTTTTCTACCGGGTTTTCCTTCAGCTTCCGTAGAAGGACTCCACCCACTCGTATACGCATACCATATCCGGCTACATATTCCTTACTTATTTAGCCATATAGCAACCGAACTGTCTACGCACATTCAACACTACTACTTTACGGGATCGAATCCGGCCCCTCCGCTGTAAGCTCATTGAAACTTGTGTCTAGCATTTAGCCTGGACGACCCCTCCTAGCATTTTGTGCACATTTCATTCTAACGCTCTACAGCCCAGAAAAAGAAAGCCGAAGACAAACGTGATCTGGTCAACCGATTGCGCTACCATGAAATCTGATATCTCTCGCGTAATCAAGTAAGTTGCGTTCCTAAGTCAGTAAACAGCTCCTTGTAGTATCTCTGTACCTTGTTTAGTTGGACGAGCGGTTCAAATCAAACAATTTGTTACTGATCATACAAATAAAATATCTGCCTTTTTATAATGTATTGAATTCCAAATCTAGCAACACTCGGAACTCACGAGTTATTCGGCTACTTTAAAGAGTGATTTGACGCGTCACTTCGAAAGAAAAAGCAGTTTTATAGTAATTTTGATATCAAGAAATGGAATTCCTACCGCTTATACAGTATAACACGTATAGGCTCAGCAAATTCTACAGCAACCCTCTACGAACCCAAATAATCACACATGGGAGAATCACTTAACAAAGTCAATACTTTGTGCAATTAACTCACCCTCTGGCGGTATTATTAAACCATCGCAGTTAAAAAACTTTCTAACGTGTGTATGTTGAAAAAGTTCAATGGAGAATGAATATTTATGACTGAATAATTTTAAATAAGGAATCCCTAAGTAGGATATTGAGCGATTCGAACGCTAAAACAATGGCTCTCATCTTTCTCTTTTTTTTCACAGAGCTGCAAACAATTGTTGTTGAATCCGGAAGGAGGAAAGGAAGAACGACCAACAGAAGTAAAGGAAGTGAATTTTAACGAGATACACTAGTTGATCTGTACATGAGGGAAGTAAGACTCTAATACTTATAGCGTGGAGTAACTGTCTCCACTATCTCGGCAACATAGTTATGACACTATTCTTATTTTTAAAGGTGGAATCGTCTTTTAAATTTACGTTCAACGGAGATACTCATAATTATTATAGAATCATCATATAGAGTGTGCATACAAACTAATCAGAAATCTAATGACTAAACTCTAAAAAAAGCAGCAGAATTAAAAACAATGTTGTACAAGGTGGCGAATGTGCATTACCAGTATTAAGGTCAGCCTTTGTAAGATGCCCTTTAGAGCTCTTGCTCGCCAGGTAAGCTCCATAGCTGGAAGAGGAAGAAGACGAACAAGGCGAAGGTAACCAAAGAAAAAGCTCCAATTGCAATAAGGCGATATGTAACAAAATCAAAACGACGACTTCCTGTATTGACGTCGCCAGCTCCAACAAGCATCCTGCGGTACAGCGCTCGTTCTTCGGCACGACGTCGTCGACGAATGCCCGTCAATCTCTCAATCTCACATTGCACCACCTGAAACAATGACTACTGTACTTCCTCGCAACATGTGAAAATACTCCGTAGTTGGATATTTGAATATTTGAAAATATTTCAATAGTTCGCTTTGACCTTTTCCGCTCATGGCCAACTTTGGTGAAACACCACCTAAGAGTAGACTTGTACAAAATTCCAGGCGATCAGTTTCAATAGATGAAGGAATGGGAAGAAGATGAACAAATAAGTAGAACGAGGATGAAAAAAGTGCTAAAGCTAAAAGGAAGGGCCAAACTTTGTCGTACAGAACCAATGAAATCGATACATTATCATCCTTGGTTACATTTTGGCACTTGTATGCTTTTGTTACCTTTTCCTTTGTTCTGTTCCCAAATGTTACCATTAAGAATTACCATAATTTCAATGACAACGGAATATTCAAGTGCTTGCTACGTTTTTGATCTTTTCCTCTGAAAGTGAGGCCAATAGTGATTCATAACTGCGGGATTGCTGAGCTCTAAGGCAGGTTTTTAAGAACGGAGGTGTATCTGACAACATCAAGACAAAAGGAAATGAGCACCGACGTGCTCCATTGAGACGTCAGGTTCATCAAATCAATACAAAGCGTAAAAATATGGAGGGCTGCAATGTGATGTTGAGATTGTATTTAAAAAATAAATAAGGTATTATAACACAAGAAGTAAAAATTACGGTGTCGTGGGGATCGATTTCCTGTGCCCTTTTGAGGCAGTCCATTGCTTCCTCCGTGTCATTACGTGCTGAAAGTGCTGCTGCTCGCCGAAACAAGGCTTTCGTATTTGCGGAATGTAAACGCAGGGACTCTTCAGTACATTTTAGAACCTCGTCCCAATCTTCCAGCTGAAAGTAATATCATTAGCGTGTCAGAAATCCTCTAAAGCCTTGATATCGTTAAAGGGTGCCGCATAAGTTTTCGCAGAAACCTCAACCGACATGCCAAAGTAAAACGAAAATTCTGATGAAAGATGCACATGGATTTGGTACATGTTCGAAACAAAGGAGTTCAAACTAACCTTAGCATAACAAACGGCCAAATTGGAATGGAGGGCGGAGAACAGTTTCGATAACGCCTCACTATTTTTTGGACCTTCTATGATCCCAGATGCTCTGCAAAGTTTGTGTATGATATCACAATGTAAACGAAACGAACTTATCACCGACTGACTCAACGTTTTTCAAAGTATGATCAAATATGATGGGGTATGACCTCAATGGATAGACATCGTTACGGTTACCTGATCTTTCAAACCGTCGCATTCGCGAGAATCCAAAAGTAGTATTGAGTCTCATAATCAAGAAAACATACCTCTTATAGACGAAGATTGCTTTTTCATACTCCCTTCGGTTGAAGTAAAAGTTGCCTCGATCTTTCAACATTAGGACGAAATCTGATAGCTCCTCTTCTCCCATGTTCTGGTAATCCGGTGAGGCACCAATCTCGAGTAGTTCAATCTAGACATAATCATTATACTACATGACTTCGTTGAAAACCCCCTCATGAATGTTTTCAAGCTAACAAACAGACCCGATACTCCTGATCTTGATTCTGCGGAATTATGTCATCTAAGCCACATTCCCCATAGGCTAAACGAGCTTTCGCACGAATCTCGGCGATCTCTTCGACATTCATCAGCTTTATGGTCAATTCCCAAGCTGAAAAAGGAAATTTTTACGCTTTTAATATAAAAGTACGTTGACGGGAAGAAATGGAGGTCACTAGTTCGAAGAATAAGAAAGTTACAAGGTTCCTCATTTCCCACTTCATCAAATGACTAAGTATTGGTCGGACAAAATAGGTAGAAAACGAACCATCAATAACCATACTGAAGCCGAGAATGAAAGTAAGTCGATCGTGAGAGTCAACTCCGTGTAAGGTATCTACGACCTATAAAACGACAGAGCAATTTGAGTAAAAAAATAATTCAGACTATAAACGAACACCCAAAGGCGAAGGAAAATTTTATGGAGAGAAAAGCAAAAAAAGAAAAGACTAAATAATTTTCAAAAAAAACACAGCTATACCTTGATAGTAACCCACTGTCCATCTGTGGGGCGGTCGCTTCCGCTGCCGTCCTTTACTACTCGCTTCATGAGTTGACCACTTCCCAATATGTCCTCCCATTCAGAACCTCTTTCCCGTGCCACGGCTTCCATACGACACGACTCCTCCAGAGCATCCGATGAAGGGCCCTTGACTTGTGATGCTAAGGTCTGCAGAAGCAAAGTATTCTATAATATCAACCTAATCGGACACTAACTACAGAAGCCGAGCAAAAAAAAAATAAGTGGAAGACGCGAGACAGCGGGAGATTGTACTTGTCTTTGAGTTTCCTAACAATTTTAGTTGGTTTACATCGGTAAGAACTGTAGCACTCGAAGAGTTTAGCAAATGTGGCATACTAACAGTAGGAAAAAACATAATAGGATCTAGCTACCAATTTCTCTTTCCATACCATTGTAGTGCGATGTTTCAGGTTGCCCTTATACCACTGTATCGACAAATTTACCGATGGAGACCAATAGTTCGAAATGCTGTTTACACATACCAAATCGAAACTGCTATATGCATGCAATTTCCCGTCTGTAAACTTATTAGTTAAAAGGCTGCTTGAAAGTAGTTTTGATTTGCTGAGATAGTAGGCACACTAGGTCTCGCCACGGGATAGTGGTAGTTATAGTTCATTCGCCCTCCGGCAGGAGTAGATTTGTTTCCCGTTATTCTGGAGCTTTCGAACAACCTACTTTCTTCTCACTAAAAAATTTTGTGCTCATCGGATTTATCCAGAAAAAGGTACACGTAAATTGTATGTTCTTTTCTATATACAGCATTGGGAATGACACAACGAAGTTCGCTTCGGAATCTATAATCGTCAAAAGACCAAGACTTCGAAGAAACCCAAAAAATGGATAAACCAAACATATTGCCCACAAACTGCGTATTTTGTACATGCCGCTCTACACAGTACACGAAACAATCGATCGTCTCTAAATAAAATGCTCAGCAGGACTAACAAAGGCACCCGTTTTTCATTAACATTCACCCTTTCACCACGAGTTGAAAGGTTGAAAAGCTGGAGCCTAAAAACCTATGTTGCCTTTCTGCGTCATATGTCCGTATTGCTTACAAATACTTACTCATCACTGATGTTGAAGTTTGGCAGTAATAAGATAATGGTAACTTCTGTTGTGTTTGTTTTAATGTTAAAAATATATGAGAGTCCATATTGATATGCATAACCATTCAGTCATAACTAAGAGCAACGAGCGCGAATGGTGGCCGAAATAAGATACCTATTCACGTATCAAAAGAGCTTTTACTGGAAAGGAAGCACGCAATGCAAAAACTGAAAAAAAAACTCCTGACGACAAAAACAAGGATACTTCTCCGTTGAAAAACAAGTCACCACGCTGTCGCTTTCGTCAAACCGAATCTACCTTTGAGCAAATTCTTATCGCTCATAACTTATGTGAAAGCTCATGTAAAGTTATTATTCCTCAAGCGTAAGCAACATTTAAGCTCTATTGATATACCCAGGTGTACATTCAGAGTATCCAAGGTTCCAGGGAAGTCAAACATTTCCCCTGTTAATGCACGCGCACACATTATAGAGAGTATTGGGAAAGCAAGGAACGTAGTGAACATAAGAAACAGAAATGGGGAATAAGAAAGAAAAGGAAAGCTTGGCAGCTGCAGGTGGCACAAGCTGGCAGACGTAAAGTCGATTCTAGCCATTGAGACGTGCCTCACCCTAACAATGCTCATAACTACAAGCTTTATACTGACATCAAGACAGAAAATATGTGGTGCTTAACCCTTATCTTATCTGAGAGAGATATGGCAGTTCTCAGAGACATCATTTCCTATTTGATTAGGACACAGAAATTTGGAAGGGTAAATATGCTGAATCAAAGAGAAATTTTCAATTGGGAACAAGAGAAGTAGTTTGGTCGCCGTAACAGCAATCATTGTTGAAACTTGTTAAAACGTTACTATAATTATAAGGACACCAAGGAACTTTGAATAATGAGAAAGTAAGAGTCAAAGTGCTACTGCGATTATAAATAACATACATTCGCTCTGGCTACGTGGTTGACATCTGAATCCGAAAGTGCCCCTCGCTCTTCATCTATGCTGCCATCGAGAGATTGCTCACCGGATGACACAGCACGAGGTCCCGGAGAAATAACCTAAAGCATCTGGCATATGAAAACAATGTCGATCCATCATCTATGAGTCACCGCTCCTGATGGGACATTTTCGTGAAGTCACGTCACTTATATGCTATTCCCTACCCCTTTCGGAATTTTCTAGGCTTCAGATATCTAATAAGTATTTATCAACAACTTTACAAAAATATAGGGAATAGGAGCAAATCACAGTTAGACTTAGAAATGACGAACCTCAACGAGATCATCGTGCTCCACAACGTCCATCTCCTGAAGACAATGGGGATCGGACATGTTTAGTACCTATAAACGCCAAAATACGTCAACGCCAATAAATATGGTACACAGTAGGAGTTAAATAGCTGTAATACGAGTGCTAATTCACAGGCTAGGCTGGAATAAAAGAAAAAGAAACTTCCGCAATTGTATTAGAGTTCAAGAATCGCGAAAATAAACAAAGGTTGGTTTCACACATTGTTCTTCAAGTATGTTAAAAGCAAAAATAATGAATCTATAAATATAGAAGCGTCTATGTAAGAAAGGATGTCGAAGATTGCCTTGAAGGTCGCATTCCAATGTGGTAGGTAACCTCAGTCAAACACATGTTTCGGGTATTGATCAAAGAATTCATTGTAGTAAGTTCGATGGAACATATTTGAATGCCTATCGTTCGCAATTAATAATAACAGACATTAAGCCGTGGGAAAAAACCTGACGAATCATACAAATTTTGTGTGGCACGGGGTGCCATTGAATGACATTTGAATGTTGAAGTTTCTTCTTAAGAAAGCTAACGCTCCTTGATAAAAAGAACATTACGGCACTATTTGTGCCAAATGAGTCCAAAACGAATTGAACTCAGAAGCGAACTGGACTAAACTGAACTTCTGGAAAGAATACAAGCCTCACAATAGGCAGGTGTCGCCTTGTGTTCAACAATTTACTTGTAATCAATGTCTAGAACAAGATGTTAAACAGCTAATTAAGAACCTGGCCAAGCAGCTGATGTGGGAAAAAGTGGTGGCATTCGTGCTGTCGTCAACTTGCAACGGTTATCACAAAGGCGACAGAAGAAATAAATTCGATTATTGCCAAATGGCTCAATAATACGAACCCATATTAAGTGATACACAAAGACATTATGAATGTCATAGAGTTTTGTGGGCTTGGGGAGACCACCCCAGTCTATTCTGGAAAGTACAACATTTGTGTCGATACAGGTGCACTACAACGAGAAACGTTTCAAAACGATTTCGCCCATTCTACACAGAATGGTTTGGAAGAAGGGCAGCTGTTCTCGTAAAGAACCCATTCCTGCTCTGTTCAAAACAATACATTCCCAACAATTCGCCCATCTATCACAATTCTGAAGTGCTTTTGATCTCGTTAGGAAGAGAAACAAAAACAAATCCTTTCACATTCTATCGCAAATATGGAATGAATAGGCGAATTCGCTCATATTGGACTTCCAACAATAAACTTCTCAAAACAATTGGAATACATCTGACCTAAATACTCATATAAAAGCCCAAGTGGGAGAAGTACATTACTATATAAGGTCGTACTAAAGACACGAGTTGCACTCCAATCGGAAAATCGTGGCCACAGTTCAAATTGTGCAGTACTTACGCGATTCTACGTACACTGCCATATGGATCACGCCTAAATTGCGTTTGATGATAATTTAAAAGTTGGCATAGCTGGTGTATCTCATTTTTATCCGTTCCGTTTTATTCGCTGGTTACAATGAGGCATGCTGTCTTCTTTGCCTTAAAAACCATCCATATTACTAGTTTGTAACTTACAGGATGACTCCGCATAAAGATGAGGTGAAGACTGAGTCGTTACCAGCAGATTTAATGAAACAAAAAGCTGGACCACATTGTATAAGTAGCAGCCATAATAATCTACCAGTTAGTAGGGTGAGTTAAAAGTTTTTCAGTTGCCAAATCGAATCTCGTTCAGTGTAGTTTTTGAGACTTCATTTTTGATGATTTGTGCGTTTCACCGACGTTCGTAGCTTTTCCGTTCTGAAGTAGCATCAGTACAAGCAGTACTTTTTGTAATGTTGGTAACTGTACCGTAAAACCACAACTTTTTAGGTGACGGTTCATCCTCTCGTCCTACTCAGTGTCGTCGATCATTTTAATCGTGTCAGCAAAACACAAAGTGTTAAACGAGTTGTGGGCGTCCTACTAGGTTCTATGAAGAAAGACAGGAGTTTGGATATTGGAAATAGTTTTGCAGGTATGGAAAATGATATATTTCTATACCATTCTTATCTTTGTTATCTTCTAATCTCAGAGTAGGCTTTTGTTTTCCTATTATGTGGTAAGCCTTTGCCATTACTTTCATGTTGGTAGAACAAGATTGGCTCCACCCACTCCTATCATCCAGTTCTCACTGAAGATAGCTTGTACTTTGAAGCTAATGGTGACTTAGTTGCTTAGCTCCGAGGCGATACATTAAGTCAACACCTTTACTTTCACTGTCGAGCATCAGCATTTTCAGCTGTAACATCCAATATGCTGCGAGCCTTTCGGTTAGGATTCTTTTTTTTATACTTTAAAGCTATTTCCGTGTCTCTGTATACGGACCTGTAATAACGATTGCATTAAGCACCGAGTTACAGCGTTTTCTCTCATTTATGCTTGGGTGAACCTATTCAGCCCTGCTAGCCAGGTATTTTGAATCTCCCAATGAATCTCCCGGTGAGCAGAAAGGCTGTTTTTTCGAGATTAGTACTTGGGCCGTCATAGGATTTCTGCGCATAGCGAACGCTGTAACTCTGTCGAGGGAATTTGAGAAGCACAACAAGAGATCTATATAAACAATGTTTTTGAAGTTCCCATAAGAGAATCACAAATAAATAAGAAAAAGAGTGATTTGAGCATCTATTCTCTCTTATGTCTCCTACGAAGTGCATTTCTTCATGTTTAGTACCTTTCGATGAAGACGAAAAGGACAAAAGCACATGGTTCCTCGACATGGACTACCTCGAGAGTATGTATAGCATGTTCCACAAGGTTGCAGCTAAAGAGAAGATTGTCGGTTGGTATCACACCGGACCAAAGTTGCATAAGGTCTGTTCTCGTTGTGAGATCGAATAGCTTACGTGATATGTATCCTTTCCGGTTATCAGTGAAATGATGCAGTGTAAGCGCTCTTCAAGGTGGTTTTGGTTCTCCAACTTTTACTTCTTTAATTTACAGTTTTTATAGAATGACATCGCAATCAATGAGCAAATGAAGCGTTTCACTCCGCACCCAGTTCTTGTAATCATTGAAGCAGAACCGAAAGATATCGGTCTCCCGACGGAGGCCTACATAGAAGTGCAAGAAGTCCATGATGTAAGTCCTTCACGGTTTTTCATTTCACGACTTCTATCAACTAATATTGCGTCCTTCTGCGAACTCAATGCAAAAGTAGCAGTATTTCTAACTCTTACTTATCGCGTTTCAATCCCTCATTGATTTTCCACGTTCGAGCCAGGGAGCCCCTATATAAGTGCTCCTGTTCCTGTCAGGAAAAGCAACGCAGGAACGGTTATCAAGAACAGCACAACAGTTATTAAAAGACAATAACTGACAATCTACTGGTCACCCTTGTGTAATTCAAAGCAATTGTTTAATCCAAAAGGTCATTTGTCCTAAATAGTCTGTAAAGTAAGTAATGACACGCAATCAAGTAGCGGCGGGCTCTGGGCTTTTATACGGAGTTGCAGCCGGCTGTCCGTCAAAATTTCAAAGAAGCATGCAGCTATTCGTCCAGTGTCTCTTGCTTTTCCATGGCGGCGGATTTCTTCAGTGCTTTTATGTCATTTTTTTCTGATTCAGAAGACAGTACAACTGTAGAAAGTGTACGTAGTTGGTAAATAGTTGATTCATAACTTACTCAATGCTGCTCAACTCATGGATCGCCGCAATAGCTCATTTCACTGAACTCTTTTTTTCAGGATGGTACTCCTCCAATTAAAACCTTTGAACACGTAGCAAGTGAAATAGGAGCTGAAGAAGCTGAAGAAGTGGGAGTGGAACACTTACTGAGGTATGTTCGTTGTTTGCATCTTAAAACGCTGGGTGTACAGGCCATCTAACAAATTTTTCATGTTCTAGGGACATTAAAGATCAGACTGCTGGCACTCTGTCTCAACGGATCACGGATCAGTTGATGGGACTCCGGGGTCTTCACTCACAACTGGTAGATATAGAAAAGTGAGTTGACGATCGCTCAGATGTCTTTGGGAGAAATGTTGAGTGTAATCTGAGATCAGCATCAGGATAGTATGGAGTAGGTTGTTTTCTTGGAGGGGCCTGGTTGGGAATGGCCTGAAGGATCATTTCCTTGAGTTTTTCTGATGCGCCCCTCAGTTTGTCCCAAAGTTGATTTTCAATTCGTTGTCTTTCATCGCATGTGAAGGTGGTCTCTGAATTTTAATCTTTCGACTCCACTTACACTAATTTCTAACCTTCTCATAACCTCGTAAGGATCAAGGCTCGTGCCAACGTTCCTTGGACTTAATTCATCGATGAACCGCTGAAGAGCAGCTTTTCGTTTGCAGGTATCTGCAAGATGTTGCAGCCCATCGTCTTCCTATCAATCATCCCGTCATTTATCACATTCAGGTAAGGGTTACTAACAATATTTGCTTTGTTGGAACTTTGAATTTTTCTCGCTTCGAAATGTTTGTTTTTGATGAAAAGGGTCAGTAGATTCGGCACTAGGATTTGCTTCACCCAGTGTACTCGGCGGTGATATCGCACTAACTCACGTACACCACTTTAGAAACTTAACCTTTTTCAGGAGGTATTGAATCTCCTGCCGGATGTCACTCACCCTGACTATGTAACTGCTCAAAACGTGCAGACAAACGACCAGTTGATGTGTGTTTACATGGGATCGTTAGTGCGTTCTGTGATTGCACTGCATAATCTTATTGATAATAAGGTAAGTAGTTTATGTACTAGTTATGCCTTGTTCTTTTGATGGAGAACTTTTTGTTTTTTTTTTGTTGAGAAAGGGGACTGTCCTCCTGTTAGACCCTACATCAAGGTAATCCACTCTGAATCATCCCTACCTTCTCCTGTTTTACATGGAAGATTGTTTGCGTTTCCTAAATATTTCTCAAATTTCACCTGGGAATACGGTACGGAGTGCAGTTTTTCTATGTTTATTCAAAAACAATTTTGAATTGGTTCGGTTTTTGAGTGGATTTGCAAAAACTAATGGCCAAATCACATTGCGAGTAGCTGAGCTGATCTAGTTTTCCCGTGTTTTAGTGATTTTTATCGCTGACTAACGCTTATTTGTTTTCAGCTAGCTCTTCAAAAGGCGGAGAACGAACAAGAAGATGGTAGCGACAAGAAAAAAGATGAGAAAAAGAAGGATGAGAAAAAAGAAAGCAAGGATTCCAAGAAAGACGAGAAGAAAAAGGAAGAGAAGAAGGATAAATCAGTTTCGAAAGCGAAGAAACCATGATGAATTTTAATCTGACTGGTGATTTCATCTTGAATTTAGACTGGTCTCGTGTAATACCCCTTTTTTTCGCAGTATATCCTTGATAACAAGGTTGACTGAGAAGTAAGGGTTTAATTGAGCATGTTTATATCCCTTATGCTTAAATTATTCGGAAATAAATCTACAAATTTACATTGTTCTTCATTTGAACTTTCATGGGAATGGGAGTGCTTGGGAGAAGATATAGTGCGAAGCCCGCTCTCTGATGATTCTCATGAAAAAAGAAGAATTCTGCATGATTTGCAAGCACCCAACTCCTTTTGAGTCGTCACATGGGAAGGGTACGAGCGCTTGTCTTCTGGGTATATCGGTGTCCCAGCAGTCCTTTCCCCACAGTCACTTCTCCTTGAAAGCGCTCCGAGGTGAAGATATAATGGGTAATGCCTCATGCCAATACGATAATTATCTTTCACTCTGATTGAGGGGACCTCGATCGTACTTTGGAAATCTTAACTAATGGGTTCATTCTTGCCTAGGAGTATTATAACTTGGGAAAAAATCTCCCGTGAAGTAAATTCTGAGCTGGTGTCATGAGGCGCCTTGAGGTCATTACGTGCCCACTAATCGTGTGAGGTCGCATACGGCATGGGCGTTACCGGGCGCCGTCGACCATATGACGCGCACGAATGTCGAAATGGCGCTTTCAGAACCGCTACCCGCTTCTTTTCGGTGACTAGACTTATACGGATGCGTACGAAGCGTGTTTTGGCCTTAAAGTAATGTTGCCATGCTGTTTCCCTTGAAAAATCAGTTGAGAAACGTAGTACCTGTTCCAGTCACTTGCGAGTTGCTCAAAGCGGTGAAATAGTAAACACTGGAGGAATCTGACGTATTCCCTTGCTGGTGTTTGTTAATAATAGCCTAAATCGGGTAGAAAGTTATAATCTCTTTTGATCGTTCACGTGATCGTCTGTCTGTATGTTTATTGTGATCTATGGTCATGTTGAAGTAATGGCTATGGTTTACTGTTGTAATTAGTGGACTGTAATCGAGGTATAGAGCCTTCAAAATAACGATCAGCAACGTCGAGATTTTTGATGGGCTCCTGAGAACGATTTACGCATGAGCATTGGGGAATATAAGTATTGAGGATGTGCCGACTTTTCATCATCTTCAATAGGTTCTTTTACACTCCCATACCGAGTCATCATAAAAAAACTGTGAAAAAAAGCTATAAGGATAAAAGGATAAAGTTTTTGGCATCAATCAATCCCATCTGAGGGATGAGCCCTGCACGCGACTTCCATTCAGAATCGTAGTGGCGTAATGGCGTATGTGGCCTATACAATGTCTTGCGGTGGCTAGCCGATGAACAAGTCAGTGCCTTTATCCTCCTAGACTAGTCTGGTACCAATTCTCCGATCCCGGAGGTTTGAAGGCTTGGTTGGCCTAGGCGGATATCGATCCGGGATTTGAACCCGTAACCATGAGTGAGTGAATCACGCTACTTGCCACTACACCTCCTCCGCCATCAACAAAAGCTATACGCCGGCTTAACTCACAATATGGTGTTAGTGGATTTGTTCGAGTATCCTGTTTACGTGGCCATCATGTACATTGGAGAAAGTCTAGCTTATTTTATCATGGAATTTCTTTAAGTCGGTGAGGTAGTGGCAGGTAGCGCGCTATTCTGCGCGCTGGGACGAGGGTCGAGTTCGTGCCGACGCTCATTCACACAAACGAAGTTGTTGAGGCCGGATAACTCGTATCACGATCGTCTATGAGAACAAAAACCCTGGCTTGGGCATTACACGGAACCGATTATTGTCAAACGGTTCTATTCTTTATGCATTTGCGATTACGATGTTTAAACCACTTACTTCATTTTGACTTGATGTTTTATTAACAGCTGTTATTTCGCCGCAGTACGCTACGGTTCGTAGTTCGGTAGGGGTTCGAGTCCCGTCCGAGACTGAAGTTTTGTCCATAAATGCCAGCCTCGTGAGATTTTCAGTTACTTTATTTACGTTGATCAAAATGTTACTCTGTTACAATTACACCTAAGGTTGAGCCATGGACTCAATCGTGAAGTCAATCAAACGTATCAAAGACCCTATTAATCGCCATGATTCATGCTGAAATGACTCTGTAACAACATCAACAGGTTTATTGGCCGAGACTGAACAGCATGACATATCATAATGAGGTGATCTTCGCTCAGATTATTTATCGCTGATCGTTGAACTTCAACATAAATTCGAACACCATCTCACCCCTCACTTTTTTAGATCGGAGACTCAAAAAAGGGTACTATTGCTTGCTAACTATACAGGGTCTCTTCTCAATAACATATAGCTAGCTGTTGTCACTATCCATTGCCTAAACACGGCTCACTTATCCTTCGGCCAAGTAGGAGGAACTTCCAAAAAAAAGCGCACCTTAAGGTCATGAAAAATTCGCTAGTTGAGACTTCTGAACTCTAAAAAAAAGTTTGTGAAAATTCTGAAGGTTCCATAGTCGAAGTTGAAAAGAGACTTGAAGTGCTGGACGTGTTATAGGAAGCTGATCTCACATCTGCTTCCCAATACAACGTTATGAAGGTTATTTCAGGTGATTGCCGTCTTTCTTTCTTCAACTACTGCAGTGGTCAGTGGGGTGAGTACGTCACCGTCTCTCAGCTCTCAATCGCTTCTGCGATTGCCGACTCTTACTTCATCTACTAACTGCAGTGGTCAGATTTGCGAGTGAATAATTGAGTACTTTTTCCGCTCACTAATGATGTTGGAGCCACCGATGACATCAACGAAAGCATACTATCTTTTATTTCCTTTAACTTCAATGTTAAAAAGGATAAAGTTTTTGGCGTTAATCAATCCCGTCTGAGGGATGCGCCTCCGCAATCGACTTCCATTCAGAATCGTAGTGGCGTAATGAGTGCGTATGGGGCCTATACAATGACTTGCGGTGGCCAGCCGATGTACAAGTCAGTGCTTTTATCCTCCCAGACGAGTCTGGTACCAATTCACCGAACCCGGAGGGATGGAAGGCTTGGTTAGCCTAGGCGGGCATCGATCCGGGATTCGAACCCCTGACCGTGCGTGTGATATAGTGCGCCACTTGCCACTACACCACCTCCGCCCGTACTTCAATGTTATTTATATACAAATATGACATCTAGTATGTGTAATGGGAAGCTCCCAATCACATTGGTTCCATTTAATTCGTAAGGTTGTGATTACATACGAAGATGAAATTTTCTGAATTTTCTGAGTTCTGAATTATTCCCTATTATGTTTGCCGCGCACCTTGCGTGCAAATAAATAAGCAAATAATAACTACTCTTCAACATGGGTGAACACAATGACACGGGTGCACTCGCTTCCTAAGCGGTGGCTTAGAGCAATGGAAAGCGTGGATCTTCATGTGTGCGAGACCATAGTTGAAGTATCGTGGGAGGGGGGTTTTCGCATTTTATGGTACATTCTCTTTAAAGAATACGAATTCCCTGGGAGACGGGCAGTAGGAACGGTTTTGAGTAATCGATCCGCCGCTCGCGACTGTCGCGGACCATTTGCCTCGTTATAAAAGTTCTAGCATACTTCATAAATCTTAATCGCTATGCAATTAACACCTTTGGCATGATTCTACTATTCTTTTGTTCCTGCATTTCCTACATGCTGTTGCATTCTGCTACATTTTTTCGCGCGCGACGTCTCTCTCACCGCGACGCGACGCTTTAGTTTCTAGTGCACCACACCCGAAATCCTTTCCTGTTGTTTCCATCGCATTCTATGACCTTTTTGATGTCCGAGGTACGAACGTATGACGTGTATGTCCGTCCGTCCGTCGTACTTTGAAAACCAGGAGAACTCATAACTAGTTTTTGAGGTTTAATCATTCTTCATATAGTATTGTGAAATGTGAAACAAATCGGACATTAAAGATTATACCCCAAAGCTCAGATTTGAATGGGACCTGCGGTATTATTTGTTTCGTAATGTCCCACCGAAAATCCTTTCTCGATCAGGGATTACAGTAGCCGTTGTTATGCAATATAAGGGAGCCCCCACAAATTGCCTATAAAAACAGTCCCCGATCGTGGTGATCACTCAGAATAAAATACATATCACGTTCCTATCCGCTTTCCCTTTACTTTGTTCTGTTTTACATGTATCACTCTTGAGTCCAAGAATTATTGGGTTACTTTCAGAAGCTATGATTCAACGTTTACTAGCGATAACCGCTCTTTCTTCAATAGTCTATGGTGAGATTGACTGCAACGTTCTTTGTATTAGCTTTTTTTTACGAAGGATCATTCCACCTTTTTAGCGCTGGATTGCCCTACACCACTTCCACCTCTTGGGGGAACAACTTCGTTCACTGGAACAGCTAGAGAAGGTTCCGTTGCTATTGGAACATGTCCGCTTGGACAAATCATGAGCGGTGAGGAAATATGGTTTTTCAATAATAAATAGAATTTCTGAAGCGACCTGAGCTTATGAGAATCTTATTTTTCTAAATGAATGCTTCACAGTGGAATTAAGCAAATCCGTCACGAGATTGAAAGGGTAGGCTTTATTTCTTGTTCTTTTTTCTTCTTTCTTCTATTTTATCAAGGATCCGGAACCAGACTTTGTTTCTTCCAATCAGATGGAATGGGATCACAAGGTTGGCGATTTGTGGACAAAACTTCAGCCTCGGACGGGACTTGAACCCGTACTTGTCCTTTCCGGGGACCGTGCTCTTATCCCTTACACTACCGAGGCCCCGCTTGCCCTCGCCTTCTTGATGGCTTATATGCCATAGCTTATCAGCACTCACACGTACAACGTGTTGAGCCGGTCGGCCAATATCAGCACAGAACCGTTAAGCTGTAAGCTTTACATGTTAGTACTTGTTTTGACTTGATGTTTTGTTAACTGCTGTTAATTCGCCGCAGTACGCGATCCGAAAGTCTCACAAGGTTGGCGATTTGTGGACAAAACTTCAGCCTCGGACGGGACTTGAACCCGTACTTGTCCTTTCCGGGGACCGTGCTCTTATCCCTTACACTACCGAGGCCCCGCTTGCCCTCGCCTTCTTGATGGCTTATATGCCATAGCTTATCAGCACTCACACGTACAACGTGTTGAGCCGGTCGGCCAATATCAGCAC